AACACGGACGCTGGTCAGACCTCCTACGGCTCCAATTATAAGAGGAAAAAAAATAACCCAACTTCTTTCCTCGCGCGCGCGTGTGTATTTTTTCCAGCACCCCCGTACAAACGCGCGCGCACACACGGCGATTACGTCGTTGACTTCTTGCGCGGTAATTGAAGTGCCTGTGCACACGCGGCTTTGCAGTCACGTACGCGCGGCTTACGTGGGCATGTTTTGCCGTCTCCCGTGGCGCGTCTTTATGGCGACTGCTTCTCTCCTTTCTCTCTCTCTCTCTCTCTCTCTCTTCTTTAAAGCGAGGGGGTCAAACTGAGGTTTCCTCGACGTTTTGTCGACTCTTTACGGGCTTAACGATCACTTAGCTCCCGCGTCGAGAAATCCGATCGATCGATCGATCGCGAGAAGCCAATAGGACGAGAGGCGACGATAGCGACAGCGTTGCGAAATCGCTCGTGTAATCCGACAGCACTGTGAACAAGACTGCACGTACCCGAAGCAAGTTCACGCTCAATCAATCTGCCAGACGTCGAGTTATTAACAGCCAATGACTGCGCGCCCGTTGATTACACGGCGTAATAGCCTAATAATGGTATAGCGAACGGCCGGGATACCCGGGAAATAATAATTGCAAATAGGCCCTAATGCCGAATGGCTATGTATGCGTATTAGGTTTTGATTCTCGGTGTTCTGGCTCTGTTTACCCCCTCGAGCCCGCCTTCGTGCCCGCTTTTGTGATCGTTATCGGCAAATTGTCCCCTCGGGCCAACTAACAAGCCCCGATCCTTTTACACGCGCGCCGCCAGAGCCCAGCGTGGATATGACGATGACGTATCCGCCCCTCCCCCTCGCCGCGATAAGTGGCAAAGCGAAACTAGAGTAATCTCGTTGAAGGAGGGTAGGTCGTGCCGCTTGCTCAAATCTGTCTCGTTTGCTTTCGATTTTCCATGATGCGCGGTTGGCTTGCAATCAATCCACGCTGCCAATTGGTGCTTCATTCGATGGGCTATGCGTGCATCTTTTTTTTATTTTTTCACGTTCGGTTGAATGATTAACTGGATATGTAATGCGTAAATGCGTCGGAAGCTCTATAACTCAATTATGGATGCGTAACTCAAACGAACAATCCCTTAGCGAACTTTCGTTCATCTCATTCATTCCGTTCGAGCCAAAATGTTTATTACTTAAAAATGATTGATAGCTGCGTAGGTGAAAGTGAAAGATATCATTGGGTACAAGATTAAATAGAACATCAAACAAATATCGAAAAAGATTCAATTGTTACCTGACGTAAGTAGGATTTCTCGCGTGATTTTGACTGGAAGAATGCAGAAATATTAGATTACGAAAATAATGGCAACGAATGGACAATTTCAGCGGTATCATGTTTCGTCTAAGTAGAAATAGCTGAAATAAGAAAGAGGTTTTGCAATTTTTTCATCATTTTAATCACCTGTGTAAACCTATTTTAAGTTTTCCAAGAGAGGGGTAAGAACTGAGTACGAGGGGATGGGATGTCACCACGAATAACCAAATTAAAGATGTATGACTATATGAGAGGAATGCGCCATAGGAAATAATGTACTCGCGAATCGACTGACTCGGTGACTTCGGTAAAGCTATATTTTGCAATCACAGTACTTTGAACGGTTTGTTTTGGATCAATCGATAATATCCTTTTTACTTTGTGTCCGGTCGACCTGTTATTTCATTTGTGACGGTACAAATGTCAATGCTGTAAACTCTGCAGGTCTCAATTACGCGTGTAATTTGTTGAAAATTGCATAGTACTTACAATGCGATCTGTTACATGAACTAAACGTTGTGTTGTGTGTAATCACAATACTTATTACGTGGGCACAGCAATTTGTATGAGTGCTTTGCGCTCGCCCTCTGCCTTTAAACTATAGAAACTTCATTAAAACGTTAAACTATAAACACTGCATTGCTACCTCCTACGAGATGAAAGTTATTATTGCGCTGGCTGATGGGCCGTTACATTATGGAGTGAGTTCGAGTTCAAAAATAATGCGGCTGGGTGAATAACTGAGATACTTTGTTCGACCAATAATTACACAATTTTTTTGCAGTTGCAAAGTATTACCATTTTTATAGCTTCTTTTGAATTACATCGATCATCGTTTAAACATAACACCGATTGCTTCTTCGAGTTCTTACTTTTCTTAAAGGTCATTTTTTAATGTATTAAAGCTACTTTGTCTGCCATCTATGATAGACGTTTGCTTTTCTACGTTTCAATATGTGAGTTATGATATAACTTTTTTTAGTAAAATCAGTTTGGTTAAAGATGCGTGCAAACTGTCGAAAATAACTTTATTAAGGGAGGAATAATTTATCATTATATGATTGTTGTAGCCTTATTGGTATATTTTTTACGTACGTATAAATAATTTATTTATATATTTACGATTCCTACATATAATATCTTCAATGATTATTATTTCTTATATAATACATACGTAATACACATGTCCTGTTTATAATATATACATGTATTACAGCCAAAAAATAGATTGTAATAATTCCTGTAGCTTCTTATAATGCTTGCTACTCTTACAATAATAATTAATTAGGCTTTTATTAGAAATACTCTACAATGAGTTTTTTATTGTTTTTCAGAAAATTAATCCACTGTGGATGAACAAAGCTGAAAAATAAGCTATTATATTTCAATAACATGCGTTACATTTATTGATTTGTTACTTATACGATTAAAACTACTTCAGTTATCGTAAAAATTAAAAGGATATCTTTTTCATTGAAAACATATTTTTTGAAATTATGGATTTTTTCTAGTATTTTCAATACAACTATTTTTTCGAAAGCAATTGAAGAATCTACTTTTCAAAATTGAAGCGGAATTAAAGCATTAGAAAAGTACGTTATGGCAATTAGCTTACTTTATATTGAAAAAACTGAAAATTTCATATAAATTCAAATTTTTTAAGACTTTCTAATAAGAAACGTATGAATCATTTTTCCATTCTACATTGGTTAAAGAAAAATAAAATGGCTATTATGCGACATTTTTTATCGCAGAGAATTCGAATCGAAAATGATTACATAGGTGCATTCCGCACACACGTATCCACATTTATTACATGCAATCCACCAAAAAAATGCACTCGTATAATACCCAAAATTCAATAATTCTATTTTCATTTCCGGACTTTTAAAACGAAATTTTTTTTGTTTTGTATACTATAAAATAATTATAAACGCTGGGGAATATTGCAAAAGTTTTCTGTAAATTTATTTTTCCGGTTATTATTAAAACAAAAAATAAACGAAAAATGAGATTTTCCAGCCAATGGTGAAGCAGCTCTGGAGAAGACTAGACAAATTTTTCAGCACGCAAAATGATAGTAAAAATGAAGACCTTTATGCAGAAAGACGTCTCGTTCACTGAAAGCTATATATCCGGTACAGTACTATAGTCCAACTCGTACCGTCCAATATACTACTATGACGATTTCAATGAAAGTATTTTTCTCATCGATCGCCTGTAATCAATCGAGCATCTGTAAGAGAACCCGATTGTTTGTAAAGGACGACAAGTTTGCAGAAGCGCATGCCGAAAAAATTCGCTTCGAAGCATCGAGCGATCGAAATGTAAAGGGCAAAGAAAATTTGGAGCAGTCTAGCTCGGAAACGCGCGCGCAGTCTTCGTTAGCATTCAAATGTATTCCACTTTGCGTAGTCGGTCGTCGGGTGCAAGACGCGCGCGCGTTTATATATTCGCGAGGACGCCTACAGCCGCTTTAGCGGCCACCCCTTGAATTAATACATCGCATAGCATTACCGCGAAAGCTCGACTGCTGTCGCGCTGCTACTCGTTAACAAAAAATGCCCGTCGTCGCGTATACCATTATACGGCGCTGCTCTGTACGTGTACAAGTGGCAGTTCGCCGCTTTTTTATGCGATACCACGGACTCTCATCCCGAGTAAAGAGAACAATTTGCGTGCTTCGCCCAAACTAAATTGCCTGCGTTGCTTCCCGTTAACGATACGCACGCCGTGAGTTCTTCTAACTATACGTTCTCTGGATACAAGTTTTCATTCCGATCCAAAGCGATTCGGCTTGAAAATCCCGATTCCCGATCCCCGAATCGAAAGCTCTCGTCGAAAAGCGAGCGATAAATATACGCGATGCGTCGGCGGAACTACCGAAAAATCTTTTCAATTAACGCTCGACCGCTACAGTCAACTATTCGGAAATTACCATCTCGCTAATAAACCCGTTGGCAAAAAAGCTCACTCTTCTCGGACGTATCTCCACTAAAGCCACTCGTATCTCTTTGTCCACTTTGCGATGCGATGAAAACGGACGCAGGGCACGCGATCGAGTGCCAATTACGTCGTGCGATCCTTTGCGAGTGGATCGTTGCCCTCGTGCGCGTACGGCAATGAATTGGCGATCGGTTTCATTTCAAAGAAAAAATTCATCTTTGCCGTTTAAACGCAGCCAAAGTGATAATTGCAAGTGTACGAACGTATGTGGAGCGAGAGGTAACCATAGTGAATGCTGTGCGCGAGCCGCCTAAGGTTAAATTACGCTAATTAAACTAATTACCAAGCGATCCGGAAGCTTTCTTTGTCCGCAGGACACATCGATCCGTACGAAGACTCGCGATTTGTTTTTAATGAACTCTCTCGGTTAGAACGGGGGAGGGGGGAGGCATCACGAGTGCTCGTGGATAAAGAGCCGCGGTTCCGCGGAAGACAAACTGATTACGCGCTCTTTCCGGCGACGAACGATGAACGGGGCGCCTTCAGCGCCCGCCGTCCGTGGTTGCCCGCCGCGTCGATTCATTACACATTCAATTTGTCCTACGGCGTTCTGGGCTTCGCGTCGGCTGTCGGCATGATAATCGCGGAGCTTTTGCCGTTGCGCCGCGCCGTCTCCGCTGGCGTTTTGGTTGGCGGCGAATGGCGCGCCGAAGGGGTGGAGCCTCGCGCGAGCCAATGACGTGCGACCAAGCCAGCCCCTTTGCCGGACGGCAAAACCAAAAAAATGGCTGCGCGCGCGCACGCTCGCCACCAACGACTGGCTTTAAGCGGCCGCGATTAATTCGGCCAGCGCACACCGAAGCTACACGACTCTCGTGCGTCTCGCCGCTCGCGGGAGCTCGCTCGCGTGGCTATGTGCTCGACGTCCTCGTGAAGCCGAGGCAAGGAAGGGAGGGAACGCTGGATTTGGCTTTTCGGCGGTCGTCCTCGCGGGGGCAGCTGTCGTGCGTCTCTCGTCGGTGAGTTCCGCGAAGGGCGACAGCGCAGAGCCGAAGAGCTGGATTGGTATCAGTTTTGCGCGTGGCGACAGCAGCTGGCGAGGCGCGAGGCCGAGATGATGCAGGAGCACAAGTCATTTCTCATTCGCGACTTGCTCGGCGACGTCTTGGATCACCGCGTACAAGGTACGTACTTGGGACTTTCGCTTTCTTTACTCACCTGTCCATTACCGTCCTCTCGATCGACTGACAACTTGCAATTCAATTTGTCATTGATGGACACCGATCCAACTATAAATAGTCGAAGCTCGAGACTTGCAGCTTGTGCGACACACTGACAACCGCGACTGTCGCTTGTCAGCGAAATAGCTTTTCCAAGTACCTCGGTAATCCGTTTAGCAGTAAAAAAAACACCGTCTGCCGCTATAGCTCCGTGTACACATTGAAATTGACCGAGCACGCTCGAGATTCGCGTCAGCGCGCACGCGACCCAGCATCGAAAATCCAACAAAAGAATAAATCGCGCGTGGATCGCTTGCTCTAAACGTTTTGCTCCCCTCCCCATCCGAAAGAGAGAAAAAAATCAAGGCGCACCTGTCCCTTTTCCAACGTACGTTTCCCGCAACAACACGTGTCCGACGGATGGCGGTGCTCGTTAGCGCGCGCGATCGGGTGCCAAAGAGAGAGAGAGAGAGAGAGAGAGAGAGAGAGAGAAAAGGAGAGCCACAGATGGTCTCGTTTGCGCAGCCACCCACCGAGAAATCCAGGCGCGCGTTCGTTTAAGCCCCGCAGCACGTATTGTCGCGTACGTCGGGGGCTTGCGGAAAGCCAATTTCCGGCAAAAGGGATTCCGGACGTGGAAAAGCCGCTTTTCCCCGACAGAGAACTGTATTTTGCACGAGAAGGGTAGTAGACATGTGTGCCACCATGTGCGCGCCGATTCGATGTCGTTGCTTAATTGAACGCACTTGGCCGCGTGCAGTTCCCGTCGCTCTCGTTAGCACAGAAAAAAATGCAATGCTTGGAATTCGTCGATTTCGCACCGACACAGATGACTCGGAAGACGAGTCGGCGCTACATTCCGACTCCGAGGACACCATTGATCCCGGGAGCAGCCCGTGCACACGGCTGAGCAGTCCATCGCCGGGATCGGCCACGTCGGGCAACGGCAACCACAACCACAACAACAACAACAACAACAACAACAGCCACAGCAGCGGGAAGTCGTGCCTAGCGACGAGTAGCGGCGGCAGAAAGCCGCGCCGCAGGCGGACGGCCTTTACTCACGCGCAGCTGGCCTACCTCGAGAGGAAGTTCCGCTGCCAGAAGTATCTGAGCGTGGCCGATCGCAGCGACGTCGCCGACGCGCTCTCACTCTCCGAGACCCAAGTGAAGACCTGGTACCAGAACCGCAGGTGAGCGGCGCGTCGTCCGCGATGGGCGCCGATCCGAGACGGGCAATGTCGAGCGCAGCTTTCTGCCGCAGGACCAAGTGGAAGCGACAGAACCAGCTGCGACTCGAGCAGCTGCGCCACCAGGCCACGGTCGAGAAGGAGCTGCTGGTGCGCGGAGTGGGTCTGCACCACGGCGGCATCGAGGCCTACTGCCCGAGCGCCTACGGCCAGCCCAGCCAGCAGCAGTCCGCGGCCGCCGCCTCGGCCAGTCCGCCCGCGCCGGCACCCGCGGCGGCCAGCGCCTCCACCGCCGCCTTCCTGTCCACGGCCGCGGCGCTCTTCCGCAACGTCACCTACGTCCACGGCTGCCCGCTCTAACCCATCGCGCTGCAGCCGTTGCCGCTGCTCGAGCAGCAGCGCTGTCTCCAGCAGGCGCAGCTCCAGCGGGACGTCGGCGCTGCCGCTTCCTTCTCCTCGCTCTAAGGACCGGCGCTCTGCCCCGGCGCTCTTCACCGAAGCTCCTCACCCACAACTATACTCGTTTCGTTCTGATGTTCGTCCACGGCTTTCTCGTTGCGACTCGACGATCTCGGTACCATTAGATGATACATGTAATTTACTCGATCGCCTTGCAATAGGCATGTACATATGTAATTATCAGTTAACAGTTAGGACAACAGTACGAAGGAGTAAGTATATTTGTACCTAAGACATTTATGAAACTAGTCGATTTTATTAAAAAAGTAGCCAAATAATTTGTTCGTTCGATAAACACACGTACACACACGCACGCGCACACACGTACACTATTATCAGAGTTACACCGTCGAGTATTATTGAACGAAGCAACATAGAAACGTGCAATGTCTGTCGACTTATAAATAAGCGTTACTACTCACTAGCTTATCGTGCATATATATATATATATATATATATATATATATATATATATATATATATGTATGTATATGTAAATAATGTGTAATCTCGCACACATCTCTACGAACGACAGAGAAAAGAAATTAATCTTCTATAGCAAATGTATTGTATATTAAATAAATGCGTACGCGCGGCAATAAAAGAAAGCAGCGTGCGAAAATTTCGCCCTTGTATCGAGAAAGAAAAAAAAAAAAAGAGAAACGACAAATAAAAACAAACCAAACAATGAAGGTATTGAAAGAGAAGAGAGAAAGACACAAAGGTGCGCGCGCGCGTGTTTCTTTCGTCGTGAATTAAATCGCCCGTAAACCTCTCGAGGCCCGCGTGCGTAGACGCACTTGATGATTTCAGCGTAAGGGGGTTGGGCGCACACTTGACTGCATCTCTGCGCGCACATTGCGCGTATCGATTGGCGCGTGTCTCTGTTGCCTCGCACGATCGTGGACACGTGCGGACAGCGGTACGCACGCCGAGAGCTGATTCTCCGAGCTCTTCGGATTTAATTAACTGTGAGTAGACGCGTATCGCCGACGATAGAGCCTGCGCGCACGGGATTCATGTGCATCGCTTTCACATCGGGCTGCTTTCGATTCTTTGCGCGGAATCAAATTGTATTTACAGGGTAGACCTTATTGTTTCCAGTAAGATGCTTTGCCGATGAAAAATATTCATTATTATTTTTTTTTTTTTGATATCTCGACGCACGTTAACGAGCGCGCCTTTCGTCGGTGTCCTTCGGGACGTAGGAGCGAAAACGAACGAGAGGACGAGCCTGCGAACGGCCGAGAATCTCCGGCAGTGTAGCCGCACGCGCCGCGTGCCTTCGAGGCAAAAATATCGGCGAGCGCGCGGGATGTTCGCCGTCTTCGTACGCATCGCGCACGCATGTTCGGCACTTGGGCACGCGCGAGATCTTTAACCGTAAAGAGGGACAAAGAGCGGCTCGTCGTGGCTGTCCCTGCGCCGTGGCAAACTACAAGGAAAAACGCGATGTTTTTTTCTTTTTTTGCTTCTTACTCGAATCCGGAAAAAGACGAGTAATTGCGACGAGCGCACGCTTTGCATACGGGAAGAAGACGAGGAAAAGCGTAACGAAGCTCCAAGTTTTTAATTGGAATACATTCAGGAAAGCGGAACGCAGTTTCAGCATCGAGCGAGGCTGAATACACGCGGGCGCGCGCGCACGAGCATCTCCGCCCTCGCGGCGCTTTGTATCACCGCGCGGAAAGAGCGAGAGAGAGGGATTTTTCCTGGCTGGCCGACTCTTGCGGGTACGCGGGCTTTCGCGTATGCCCAATTCGCTGGTACACAGCCTCGACTCTTTTTCCACTGATCAATCGCGCGGCCGGTAGCGTTTGCCTTACTTTTTAATGAGTTCGGAAGTCGATGTATACGAGGAGAGTGCGCATTGTAGCGAACAGCGACGCCTCGACAAATTTTTCGAGTGTTCGATTGAAAGGGAACACCTGTGCCGAGACATGTAAAAGTATCTTTATTCGGTAAGTCTAGGGTTAAAAGGCAATTGAACATTACAAAAATGGCTTTTTTTATTCAATTGTCATTTACAAAAATATTATTTACTGATTATTACACTTATCGAACAACTAAAAATAGCTAGCAAAGTGTTTTTAATTGAATATATGAATAAGAAAAACTGAATATCAACTATAATTTACCTACTCAAAACTAAGCAATGGTACTAAAATAATTGAAACAATCGACTTTTTTAAAATAACATTATCTATATAGAAGGAGTTTGAAAAATTAGCACCTTTCGCCAAATGTTGAAATATTTTCATTAAAGATAACATACAGACGATTATTAATTATAATAATGCGCCACTGCAATTTAAAAATGCAGGTTCCGTTTCCGAGAAGCAAATTAAAACGCAACTTTAGAGGGACTCAAGTGCCATCAGCTGGATTGTCATTTACAACTTTGCTTTTAAAGTCACTGAGACTATCGCGAGCATTCGAGGCTTCATGTTTCTTTGAGTTTTTCCTAAGAATTTTCAAACGAAGGATAGTTCGAATACGACAGTCGAGACTGCGATGGCAAATATCACTCAGAACATAACTCTCCGTTTGTTTAGGGTTTAACGAAGCGTCACTGTCCCGATGAAATAATACAATAAAATACTAAAATACTAATCGCTGTTGTCAATTGGCTGTCGATACCCCGTTGATAATGGCAGTGGCGGTGTCCAAACAGTCTGCACTGGCGTTCAGCGGATTGATCACGATGCTCGGCAAAGCAGCTCTCCTGTCAGTCCAATAGATGGTGGTAGTCTTTATGAACGTAATGGAGTCGCAGCAGACATAGGATACGCACTTACTGCAAAGCTAGCCGAGCTGCCGAACAAGATAGAGTGAGTATATACCGAACCAAACGCTAAGCGAGCTTGCCGAGTATTCGGTAAGCCACGGCGTAACCGAGCTGTCAAAGAGTTCACGCAGTAGTTATCCTTCACTGACAGTCCCGAGTATGGAGCTCGGGTACTTGGGTAGATCAGCCACGATGGTCGAATCTGGTCGAATGTCGAATCTGGTCGAATGTCGAATTCCGCTGTGCTTAGAATGGCCGCCAGCATGGACTTCGAACAGAGAATTTTTCGGCACAATGTCGTCGGCATTATTATTATGCTTACGCTCGCTGAGGTAATGCAGTCTAGCTTCGGACACTAGCGGATGCCCTCGCGGAGTGTGATGTCACAGAACCGCGAGCATAGCGCGTACGCGGCGGGGGGGGGGGGGGTCGTTTCCGCCGGACACGCGTGGCTGCTGCGACAGATGATCAACACGTTGTACCGATGGCGCAGACCGCGCCCAGCGATATCGCCGTGTCGACGAGACCACTCATACCTGGGAATTCGGGGTGAGGTTGTAGGGTGTCGATCGCCGGCAAGACGAGCCATGAACGGCAGCGTAAATATTGGAGGCAGTAAAACTTCAAATCTTGCGGGAGCATTCACCCATTAACGGACGTCAAGCGAGTTAAAGTCGAGACGCATTGAGTTTTCTCGTTCTGTGCGTACAGTTTTTGCCATTCGTCGTGACGTTCTTCTCGAAGGATCGGCAAATGTCGTCATTGCCAAAGTCCCCATTGTCCGGTTTGTGTGACAACGGATTTGATTGGTACGATCATTTCTGTGAGCGTGATGTTTTTGAGTTGTGTAGGCATGAAACAACCTGAAAAATCACATCATTGCAAACACCCATCGCTTTTCGATACGTGACTCCATTACGATAGTGAGCAAATTGTTGGCAGATTCGAGTATGTTTCAATCGATTAAATTTTCGCACTCAGAGCAGAGCAGCAACGAAACGTACGTCTTTTTTGAGCGATGACTATGATGTACACTATAATGCGTTACAAAACCGGCCATTTATGGTGTAAAAGCTACAAATACATTTATGTAAACTTTGAACTCACCAATAAGCGATTGCTTTAACAATAATGTAGCTGGAGATGTTATTATTTCAAGATACTAGATGTAATTAGCACAGAAAATAATTTTTTTCTTTGGAAATGAAATTCAGCTACGTTCTAAACTAAAGTATAATTAATTCAGCTATTTCACTGATTCGCAGAGATAATTGGTAAACAAATTTTATGTAATCTTCAAATTCACGCTTCACTATTTGACAAATAGTCTTGCGTCGTCATTTTATTTCTACAAGTTATAGGAAATAATTACTACAATTATGTAAATTGTTTCTCTAATAGTATTTTTACTATTTATGTAAAAAAGTGTTAAGATTATGCTTGTTTACTATGTATAGGTAAGTAATGATAAAAATCTTAATCGAACAAAATCAAAGAAGAAAATATATATATGGCCGTTATAAAAAAACGTCAGTCAAAAGTGGAAGAAAAGTCATTTAAATATACCCAAAAGAATTATACTTTAGTACATAAAAGAATATGAACTTAGTGGCGAACGTTCAAAAATAAAAAAAGAAAGAAATGATAGAAAATAAAATGTTGAGCTTACGCTGCTCATGTGGATCGATATAACCTCCTCACAGGATATTCGCGTATATCTCCAGGTGACAACCGATAACCCTTGTCAAAAAGTCGCCGTTGTAAAATTGCAAACACGCGTGCGCGCGCGGCAAAGACGCTCCACGGGAACGTATCGAGTCGATTATACGCGCTCAAGACCCTCGAGACTCCGCGGTGAAAACGGAACAAGTGAAAGCACAACGTGATAACAAAACACGTATTACAACAGAAAGGGAAAGCGATAATCCATTATAAGAATAATGAGATTAATTGTACTGCGCCTACTAACAATTGTTAACCAAATTAAATAATTTTTTAAATGAATCTGTCTTTTCATAAAACGAAATTCGAAACTATACACGATGAACCTTTGGCGTCACTTCAGAATTAAGTTTTAACCTACTAGTTTTTTCAATCGTTGCAATAATACATCCCGTCAAATTTAATTTCTCAATTGCATATTTTTCGACATTACATCTCTTAGTGATCATCATTTTGATATCTCGAGTGAAGATCATCGTAATATTTGGAAAACATTAATTTACAGTTTTGATACGGTGCGTCATTATAGCTTGATGGGGTAAGTCGAGATAATATCGATCCCACTAATACTAGCTGTTGATATGCCACTGGGTGGACCATCATTCGTCGTATTCGCAAAAACAGTTCTTGTCGAACCCATTGCAATGCTAAATATGACAGTAATGAAAATGTGATTGATTGCTGGGATAGCATGGTGAGATGCTACCACGGTAAAAGAAGCTGAGCTGAACAAGCTATGCACTTGTAGTTGAAAAAGTTACCATAATAGACGAGTCACGTTAGGTCATGGAGACTAAATATAGTAAATCACCGTAGAAAATGGATCAAAGAACGTAGCTGCATACTTTGATCTCAATTTTTAATTTCAAGAAAATTATGCATTTCTAAAATAGTTAGCATCGATGGAAGCAAAAAATTAAAATACCGACGAGAACCGCGGGGGCAAAGAAAGAGACTAAGAGAAGCAAAGTAAAGAAAGCTACGTGACGGAGGCGCGACAAAACGAAGAACACGTACGCTAGAAGAAAAGAGAAGGGCAATTGGTGCGGTGAGCTGTACGAAGGGAGGATTTAACCAAACGTTAATGGGCTGTTTGCTTGCAAATTGCGCTGTGCAGTCGAGCGCTAAAGGGCAGTAGCAGCAGCATTCTAACTCGTCTGTACATTTCAAGTGGGACTCTTGTTTTGTGTTGGCAATTCTCGCGACATTTGCATAATGTCTCGCGCTCACCCCTCAGTCATGTCGCGATCGCACGCTTAACGCGCCACTCTACTTTAAGCTCGGCTCGACGCAGAGTCACGAACTGTCTCCTCATAACCGTACGGGGTCTTAGGACGGATACTTAGGCTCTCTGTGCCGCTTTTTTTTCATTGCTTTGCATTAATGCAGAAGTCTATGGTTAATTAATAATTTCTGCATTTGACATTTTTATAGATATTGTAAGAGTTAAAAATAAGTTCTTTTTTACAAAAAAAAGGGAAATTAAATGAATAATATCTGGCAATGTGTTCATAGAATACAAAATCATTTTTATTTTTTGTTTGAGATTGATTGGATATTCTAAAAAGTATGTAATTCTATTACATTGTTTCGCGTATATTTTACAGATAGTTAAACAAAACAATACATTTCTGATTGACATATTTTTATATAAGCTCTTAGTGCGGTGAATCGACAAAATAAAATTGCATTTCCACTCTATCTGAAATAAAAACTGAGCTTTATTATAGTTCAATTATGGCTCCTAAGCACAAATTCAAAATATCTTCATTGCTCAAATAAGTCAGAATTCTTTTGAAACATATGTCGGGAAGTGAATTAAAGAGCAGCACTTTCGAATAGTCGTATGCTCCAAGTAATGTCTAATCAACGAGCAAGTTATGTCTCCTTTTATAATATTTTTGTAGATACTAATTTTATTGGGAAGATTATAAAAATCATGATCCTTAATTTGCGGGAAAATAACATGCGGATGTTTCATTATTACGGCGTACAAAGTTATTTTTAATCAACTGAAAAGTTTTAACCGTGTCCATCTCTTCCTCCGATTTATCGTACAACTCGTCCGACTCCAAAATTATAATTAGAATATCGAAATCAACTATTTCTCGATATATCAGCTGTTTCTTTACGAAATTCAATAAAAAGCCTTTGAAACTCCAGGTATACTCGAACGAGAGTGTCTTCACAACTTTTTTCAACGTGTGCAATGTGTGCGCCATGAAGTATTATAAGGAAATTCAACTTGGGTTATAAAATATGGTACGATTTCTCCATCGCCATCGAAAAACTCAAGCAAGAGCTGGCGGATCGATAAGACTGGTTACAGCGCTCGACGCGGCGGCTATGGGTAGCGCTGCTTAGAAAGAGACAAACTTATACGGGCAGAGCATGGGCAAGAGAGAGAGACGCGAAACTACCCAGCAAAATAAGTACCCGAAATTAAATAAAAATGTAATTTAATTGACCTCCATATTAGGTAAAAGTGCATGTAACAAGTAAATAATCAATTATAAAAGTACCAGGCGAGTTAATTTAACCTATAAGTAAGCTTTAACACAAGCGGCGGGTACAACTTAACTAGCCTCTGGTACTTTTATAATTGATAATTTACTTGTTGCATACACTTTTATCTAATAGGGGTGAATTAAATTACATTTTTATTTAATTTCAGGTACTTATTTTGCTTGGCAAACATAGTTTTGTGTCTCTCGGTTGGAAATACCCACGTGGGAAACTACGCGGGAAACTACATGGGATGCGACATAGAATCCCACGTGGAAATTTAATAGAATTTTCCACGTTGGATTTTCAAAAACATGGATAGTTAATAATATATTGAAAATAACAATAACGATGCAAAGAAATTAATAGATTTTATCGTAGATGATTAATAACTATTTTAAATAACGATACTTTAATGCTATATATTCATCAATCAAATATATGAAAACTGTTTTTACCATTGATGCCATAAATTTTACTTTTATATATTGGTTTCATAAGATTAAAATGTCTGTCATTGTCACTACTTTTTTTAATTATCATATAACAATTATTTATTAGAAAAAAATAAAAAAATGTAATGATTCCCTTTTAACCTAGCGTTAACTTCATACTAATAATAATCAAACTATATCATTAAAGTATCGTTATTTAAAATACTTTAAAATCATCTACGATGGAATCTTTAATTATTTTGTATCGTTATTGCTGTTTTCAATACCATATATTATTAAGTATCAATGATTTTGAAAATCCAACGTGGGAAATTCTCTCAGATCCACGTGGATATTTCCAATCGGGCTCTCCCTTGCCCACGCTTGGTTCACCTAAGTGTATCTCTGTCTAAGCAGCTCCACTGATACCCGCCACATCGAACGCTGTCGAGTCTCGTTGGAGTTTTCGATGGAATAGTAGATTATGATACAAGTGCGGGAAAGTAGAATCTTGTCTTGTGTAGCGTTTACGCCCGAGCGAAGCGAGGGTGCAAAGGTACACGAGACGAGAAACTTTCCCGAACATGCGCTGTACCGTAGTTTTTGATACGACGTATGGAAAGTGCGATTTTCAATGCATGTTTTCTGCTGAGCGTACGGGAAAGTTCTCAATTATATCGCATTGGAGTTGGATCTCCTTATATAAAACCGTCTCCATCGAAATCAGTTGAAAGTTCCAGGGAATTATGAAGCAATCAGGTTTAAGGAACCTTCTTTTTTTCTGAAGATGTGATAATAAAATTAGTAAAATATATATCATGATAAAGAAAATCATTTTTATTTGAGATGTATTTATAGATTTCAGGTGAAAATGTATATATGCGATACATAAATAACATTAGTTTAGGATCCACAGATTCCATCAATGAACAGCAATTGATAAAGAAAATGTACTTTATTATTAATAAAGTACTACTATAAACAATACAATTTAGTTTTGAATTAAATTTTCATTATTATAGTACCATATTAGTTAAAAAATTTGGAATCAACAATTTCTTGTATTTCTTTTGGCAGAAAAAAATCATATTTAATGACAATACACTGAATTTCTTGATTGGTAATAAGTTTTTCCACGACACATACCTATTCGACAATAATTGTGAATCTTGCAGTTGGTGATGTAGATTACTTTTGTACGGTGCACATCAAATACAAATAAATTGAAAATACTATTAATATATTAAGTACGAATTTTAAGTTATCATTTTTAATGAATAAATAATTTATTTACCTATCAAAATAAATTAATTTTTTAAAAAGCTTTTCATTCATTAGTTCTAAAAACTTAGAAAAAAAAAATTCTAATCATAAATAAAAGATTTATTTTTTGTCCTGTATATATAAACTTGAGGTAAAAATTTATATGCACGCCATATTTATGCACATAAAAGCAATTTCCGACGTCAAGGAGTATCCCTTTCAATAAACAGCAGCTGAAAAATAAAATACTTTCTTATTGTGTGCCTAACAGTTTCAAATTATATTATCATTCTAAAAGAAATGTATCAGTTAAATAGTCAGAATCAATATTTTTTCATAATCCTTTTGGCTTAAAAAAGCATCATATTGTTTAATAATGTATTAGATGTTTCAATTTATAGTAAGTTTTTCAAAAATACATACCTATTTAATGATAGTGATGAAACTTGTGGACGTCCGTGCCAACCTTGCTTATATATTTTAAAGATCACTTCGTACGTATGTATGTTTGCGCATTAAATATAAATAAGAAACTAAAATTTTAAAACTACTCTTTTTTAGCAAGTACAAATTAATTAGTAAGAAAATCATTAACGAACAAAAATTTTACTTTGAAATTATAAAATAACTATCAATAAAAATTAGTAATTGAATAAATACAAATTAATAATTGGAAAGGAACTTCCTCAATAACAACGACATTAAATAAATTGAAGTTCATTTTATATCAACAATCAACATACATAGTATGAAGATTACTGTGCTGCGGTTGCGGCGCTAGCCGCCGAAGCGGTAGCGGCCGTGGCTTGAGCCTGTTCTTCGCGGATACGATCTTTCTTCAACGTGCCCATGAACGATGCCTTGTCGGCAGCGGTCTGGAAACGTCCATGACCGAATTTGGAGCTCGTGTCGATAAATTTGAGATTGATCTTCTCCAAAGCAGCGCGCTTGGTGTGGACGAGGAGTGACTGTAACGAAACAAAAAATAATTACTAATATATTCTAACAGAAAACAAGTACAAAGTTAATTTTTAAAATTAGCTTCAGTCCTATCATTTAGAATCACGTGGTATTCATAATCCTTTTGGCTCTAGGATTGTTCATCATTTGAAAATTTAATGAACAAAATTTTATATTTATAATTAACAAAAATACATACTTTTCTCAATGTGATAACCCGCTTCTTGGGACCCATGCAGCAACCCTTGAACATGACGAAGTCGTTGTTGACCTCTCCATAGTGCGGGAAACCTCCCATAGGAGTTATACTCTTCTCAGTCAAGTCGTACTCGGTTGAAGCGTTGTTTTTGATGATCTGAAATTATAATTTTATATATTATGATTAGTCCGAAAGATTTAAAAGTAATTAAAATTTTGTATAAAAAATGTAGCTTGATTGGGAATCTCCAAAGTATAAAAGACACAATAGAGAACTATGACACAGCATGTTTTTTTAGCCTCAAGGGGTTAAATATCAAACTTGTAATGAAAACAACACAAGTCTAACTTGTCAGAGGCACTTAATTAACGATTTAATAAAAGTAAAATTACCTTTCCGTCTTTTGTATGGATTTCCTGTCCAATACGGTAAATCTTCTTATTCATTTCAGTACGGTGGTGGTAACCCTTCTGACCAGCACGAGCAACGGTGAAAGACACTCTGCTAGGATGCCATGCACCGATACAGGCGACCTTCCTGAGACCTTTATGTGTCTTACGCGGTAGTTTTTTTGTGTGCCAACGCGAGGTGACACCTGAAAAACAAAAAATATATTAGCAATAATTTATTACTATTATAGATGAAACTTAATTATTATTAATGTTTCAGTAGGAAGGCAGCATGATGTTTTCACCAGAAAATGTCTGATAAGGCACATCATGTTTTTTCATCATACAATAGAAATAATTAAACTATTATTTTATCTGTAGAATTGAATTACCAATACAGAATTACAAGTTAATTAAAAAATAGTTCGCGTTAATTTCAATATCAAATAATTTGGCTGATCCTACACGTCGTAAAATTACAAAAACGAAATGCTGATTTTTACCTTTGTATCCTTTTCCTTTCGTAACACCAATAACATCGACCATCTCATCTTGTGCAAAAACATTTGAGACAGGGATAGGTTTTTCCAGATGTTCCCTGGCCCATTTGACTTTGTCTTCAATGGTTCCACCATTAAGTTGGATTTCCATAATGTGAGCTTTCTTTTGGCGCTGTCTCAACAGTTTCATCTGAAAAAACACATTGATCATTAGTTTACCATTGCAACAGATATGTGCTGCAGTAGAATGTTGTTAATATACTAATGAAATTATATTATATGAAGAGTTATGAATAGTATGGTTTATCTGATCTGTCATTGCCCAATGGACTATATTAAGTTCATGGAATATATTGACCTTTGTCTCTCTTACAAGTAAGGCTCAAACTGATTTATGATGCTGCAGTTAGGGACATACTGCACATGTTCAAACAAATCCATACTGCTATTAATATTTCAGAAAAAAATATTACTACCTTGCCCTACTAAATTAATAAAGGCACCAAATAAACTATTTTGAAACCAACTTACTGACACATGCAATATCAAAAGCTCATTGTACGCACCTGAGTGTGAGCAATAACTCTGACAACTTTGCAGTACTTGATGATTTTTTTTAAGTCCTTTTCAATTGAGGCTCGTCCCAAATCATCTTGCCATTTCTTGGAGGCCTTGGTGAAAGCCTTCTTCTTGCTCTTGTACCTATTAACAAATCAAAAATCCTATCTATGCAGGTAGATCCCTAAGTAGTAATGTGTTGGCCTCATCATAAAATGAGCGGAGATCAATCACATTTGTCAGACCAGCCCAACTGAATATTGAAAAATTCATGGCTAAATCTGTCAATATATATACTCTCATCATTAGAGCGGAGAGCCTTTAAGGGACATGTTCAATAAATTCTGATACTTTTTACAATGTTAAAGTGAATAGAAAAAGGCAAATTTTAATCTTGACTGACCAGTTCTTGTAGAATCGCCGTCTACAGTCTTCAGATAAGTGCTCAGCCCAAACAGTGGTCAAAGCACGAAGACCGTGAGGAGTCTCTATATAACCAACAACTCCAACGACAACCATTGGTGGTGTTTCAAGGATTGTGACAGCCTCAACGATTTCCTTCTTATTGACCTCTATAGAATAAAAATTAATAAGTATTTTTATTTTAAACTATGTAACAAATAATTGTTTTTTATGAAAGACTGTGCTCAGTATGGTTTATCCCTCTGTCTTGGCCCAATGGGCTACATCAGGTTTATGGAATATACTGACCTATGCCACTCCTACAAGCAGGGAGCAATTTAATTTACGATACCACAGTTAGGAACATACTGCACGGAGTCAAACAGCTCCAAACTGTTATTAATTTTTCAGAGGAAACATTAATGCTTCCTCTTACTAGATTAATAAAAGTATCGATAAAGTAGTTACACGAGATTTTGAAAATTAAAAATATATTTGAAATGTTGAAATTTTTAACTATTTAAGGAAATTTGGAAAGTTTTAACAACTTAGGTACTAACTAATAATTAACTACTAACGATCCTGGGAAATAAATGAAATACTCACTTGAACCCGGTCTATCGGCTTCACGTACAACATGGGTCATACCGGCCTTGTAACCAATGAAGGCGGTAAGATGTACGGGCTTGCTTGGGTCATCCTTGGGAAAGGCCTTTACCTTACCACGATGACGTTGCGACCTCTTTTTGGGGTAGAACCCCATAGAACCGTGTCGCGGTGCACTAAATTTCCTGTGCGACTAAAACATGCAAAACACGATGTTTGAAAATTTCAGAGCATACATGTGGTTTCGTCAATTTTACAGTTATACTGTTGATCAGACCGCCCTAGAATATTTTCTACATTGTTTTTCAGTTAAAAACCATAAACAAATTAGATCTAAATCATCATTCAACAGGTTGTTTTTTAAAACATAATAAATTAGTGGACTTGAGAACATGCTGTCGTATAGGTTATATTCGACTTTATAATATTCAAAAATAACAATTTAACTGTTGATTGAATATAAAATATTTAGTTTCGAACGAGCATGAATAACAATAATTGTACAAAAATTCTTAAAATATAAGACAAAGTAAGTGAAAAGAAAGATAATAAGAATAATATGGTATTCAATATACTAAGTTTCTAAGGAACAAAAAATATAATTATTAATTTTATTTGAAAAATATTTGATTGGCAGCTAGAGGAAATTATTGATATAAATTTTGGTTCATTTTGCATCTAAAAAATTGTTAAGATGTTAGAGAAAATAATAGATGAGAAAAATCGTGTGAAGACACGTCTTACCATGGTGATGTCAACGGAGAAAATGGACGATTTGGCCGTGCCGCCGTGCGTATTCGGTTCTGTACTTTAGGTTATCTGCGATTGCTTTAGTTATCTGAAGATAATAAGCAATGGCTATGTATCTTGCGCAGCTGCTTTGCGCATTTTCTCAGGCAATGAGTGGTGTTAATATAATATAATATACGAGTGTGATTATGTTTTGATGTGGCTGTATATTTCTAAGATTATGTATTTTTTTTTAGTAAATATTTTGAACAAGTGTATAAATAGATATTAATAATGTCAGAAACGGATACCTTGAAAGAGTCAATTCGACAATATGAGGAACAGGTACTAGTTCGTGAAGGTTTCATGTATAATAAGTAACCACTTTAAATGTGTTTAAATAAATAATAGCTATATTAATTTTTATTGACAGTTACTACAAGTACAACAAGCACTAGCAGTAGCAAATGGATCAAACAGAAATGACTTAATGAGTTTGGAGTCAGATTTGAATGAAATAATTCAGCTTTCTAAAGAAAGTCTTGGAGAATCAGAAAATGCATCTTGCAGTTCAAAAAATGAATCTAGGAATTGTATTGATGATGAATATAATTTGTTCAAAGTAAATATTTTCAAATTAATAAAATTACTACTTTGATTAAAAAATGAATCCATTTTAATTAATTTGTAGGCTGAGTTAGCACAACTGGAGGATCCAAAAAGCAATGAAAGTTCAAGTTCTACAGCTGATTCGACTAGTAAATTAGAAGTCAGTATCATAGTCTATAAAAGATTTTTTGAAAAGATAATTATATAAAAATTATTATGCTACAGGAAGAACTAAAAGTTCTTGAAGGACAAAAATGTAGAGCTCCACATGGAAGCATTTGGGGAGGCATTAGTTATCATAATGCAATGATTTGTTCTATACATAAAAGTGACAAAGAACTATCTGGCTTACATAACATTATGGTATGCATACGTTTTTATAATAACTTAATATTTATAATCTAATTTGATAAAAATCTTTTTTATTATAATTTCATACAAATTTCCAATATACTGTGTAGGTAAGAGTCCTCTTTATTCATCCAACCCATAAAGAAATGTTACCTTGTCCTTATTTCCTAAATGGATCTTGTAAATTTTCTGAAGAACAATGTCATTTTTCTCATGGAGAACTAATTCCATTTTCAAGAATTATGGACTATAGGTAATAAATTTTAGTTTTTTTAGTATTTAATGCATGAATAAGATTAAAATATTACTTTAATCTAAATGTTAAACATTTTTCTCAGAGAGCCTGATTTTTTATCAATTAGAATGGGAAGTAGAGTACTAGCAAAGCAACCAAATAAATTATGGCATAGAAGTGTAATATTAAGAATTCCTGATGATAAAGATGATGAATATCAAGTTAAATTTGAAGCTAGTGGTAAAGTTTTAAGTGTTGGAGTAGACGAAATCTGTCCATTAGGTAAAATATATATCCCAGATATCTTAAATCTTTATGTTTGAAGAATATCTACTATAAGAAATTTATGATTATGTTTCAATTAGATGATGAAGGTTTAGAAATGTCAGATTCATCAGATGATAGTGATTATGAAAAAGAAGTACAAGCTTGTAGGAATGAAGAATTAGTGCATAATTCATTACTGACAAATGCTCCCACTCAACGTTTAGGAGATTGGGAACAACATACACGAGGAATAGGTAGTAAATTAATGGCTCAAATGGGATATATTGTTGGAACAGGATTAGGGAAAAAATCTGATGGCAGAATAGATCCTGTTGAAGCTATTGTTTTACCAGCTGGAAAGTCATTAGGTAAACTATTATTTTTGTTTATATAGTTTTAGGTATAAAAAAATAATAATTAAATTAATGATTCCAAATAGATCATTGCATGACTTTGAGAGAGAATGCTGGTGGTGATAAGGACCTTTTCAGTGTTGAAAGAAAAATGCAAAGACAAAAGAAGAAAATGGATCAGCAACGTCAGAAAGAATATTTAAAAATGAAACACAGGGAAAAGAATGATGTATTTAATTTCATGAATACTACTCTAGGAGATAAAAGTAGGATTTTTATATATTCAAAATTATTTTTCAAATTATCAAGATATAACGTTGTTTTTTTTTAAATTTAATTTCTAGGAAAAGATTCTGAATCCAGCAGTTCCAAAACGTACAAAGATTTGAAAAAAGAATCTGATAAAAACTTAAGTGTAGTCAGTTACAAAATTGGAGGAGATATTTCAAGGCTAGAAAAAGAATCAAGTAAACTGCAAAAACATTTGAAGCAGTTTAGTCAAGGAAGTGTTCAATATAATAACATTGCATCCAAGTATAATGAAACACAAAAACAAATCAGCAAATTAAAAGCCTCTGAAAAACGGATAGCATCAGAACAAAATCAGCGAAAGTTAAAAATGAAAATGACAGAATTTTAGTATTAGTATTATAAAAAAATTTCTTCCACAAGAAATTTTATTTTAATTTAAGAATTTATGTATATATATACATATTGAAATATTTATATGCAATAAAAATAAATGTTATTACATTCAAGTAAATGTCTTTTTAAGAATTATATTTTAAATTTTAATAAATCATAAATTTGTTAACATTAGTCGAAAATTAAATAAATTTTTGGATTGAACCTTTTACGTGTTTAGAATATTTCTATTTTATCAAGTATGTACACCCAACGTGAATTGAATCGCGATCCCCCCAGTTAGGTTGGTATGAGACTATGAGTGCTACTTTTAGTCCATAACGGTGGTTTTCAGATCGGCCATAGTATAACGCTCGTTCTTAAATTATATAATTAAAACCTAAAATCAAATAATCATGCATCTAAATTCATTGTTCGGCAAACAATTAATTTTAAACCTAAAAACAAATTAGTAACGTTTTAGCTTTTTATCGTATCTTAAAACGAATTTTCATTTTTGAATTTTCCCGCGGTTTCTTCGTTCAATGCAACGACGGAATTCTCATACCAACCTAACTGGGGGGGGTCGCGATTCAATCCACGTTGGGTGTACATATATCGTTTCGAATGGAGGGCTCCTTAAGAATTTTGGCCGTAAAGTTGGCTACATTAGTCAACGTAGCTATGACAACAGCAATTTATATACACAGTCGCTGGATGTTCATTCCACCTCGTTTCAAAATTTCAAGTATCAGTTTGCAGATCTGAATTTTAATGAATAAATGAATAATATAATATAACTAGTTAAAAAGTAAATATATGTGTATATTAAAGATGTTGAATATTTAAAGAAAAAATTGAAGGTTCAATTTAGTCCCTTGATTTAGTCCTATATAATCATAGATATTATGATTTTCGGAGATCTCGTTTATCTATTATTTATCGATTTTCTAAGAAATACAAATTGTAAAATTGTTATTTTTAGACGATTCAAATTAAATCATTTTTGTGTTAGGTCTACCCGATAAAATTTTTCACATTCTACCTTTTGTTGAGTGAGATCAGCTGATTTTGTTGCACGTGGTGAATGGAGATCAGGAAATATGACGTGAAGACTTGATCCACGTGAAATTTCGATGGCAGCATCCAGTAAAAAGTTCGTTTATTTTATTATCTAACTTTTTCGATGAATTAAATCAGTTAATTTGATGAACTAAATAATAACTAGAAGTAAACGATAATTTTTAAACTAACCATTATTAATTACTAATTAATCATCATTACTTATTAATTGATTTAGTTCATTTAGTGTTTATTAAATTTAATAAAAGCTGTTAACGGCGTGTCAGTCTTTCAATTCTAATCAATATTTATTTTTGTTTATTTTAGACTAGACACTTGTGAAGTGTGTGTCGCTAAAAAAGCGAAATATACTTGTCCAAAATGTGAGGTTAGAACGTGCTGTATGCTGTGTGTAAATATTCATAAAAAAGAATTAGATTGTGATGGAATAAGAGATAAGATTAAATTTATACCTTTAAATTCATTTACAGATTTAGACATGTTGAGTGGTATGTTAATATTAGTAATTGTCATAATAAGAATTCTTAATTTTGTAAATAGTAATCTAACTTAATATTTCTAGACTATCGTTTATTAGAAAGTATAGGAAGATCAGTTGAGCAACTACAAAGAGATCCTTTGAAAAAATGTACCAGAGTAATGAATCTTCCTCCTGTATGTATTACAATAGTAATGAAATTGAATAATAGTATTTTTGCAGATGTAATTTTATAAATATTATCTTTTAGCATTTACTAAAACTCAAAAGTACAGCTTATGCTAAAGGCATATTTTTGGAATTCATGCCACAACATTTCAGCCGACATAAAGAAAATACCACCTACCTAAATTTTAAAACTAATGAGTTTTTTTGGAGATTGGAGTTAATCTTTCCACATGCAGATAATTGTAAATGGGTTATCAATAGGTTGAAAGAAAATTCTTTCTCTAAACTATTGAAAAAATAAAAATGAATATATATTCTTAATTAAATTTTATTTTTTCAGGGTACTAGATAAGAAAAGATTATCAACTGTGTTGGAAGAAATTTTGAATCCTGACAAGAAAATTGTTGGAGAAAATGAAGAATATTTAAATAGATTATCAGTTCTTCAAAGTAAGTTAAAATTTTATCAATCACATGGACTGACTGGACTGAAAGCTCTTTTGAGATCTGAAAAAGTGAAAAAATCTGATTCTAGGTAAAATCATAATGACAAAAACACATAGAAAATAGACTATTAAATTTAATACTGTTCTTTTTTTTCAGATTTTTTGAATTGGATATGTCACTTTCTTTAAGAGACAATTTGAAAAATAAAATCATTATAGAATTTCCGATTGTTTACATTACATTCAAAGATCATTCTGATATGTTTGAAGTTATAGATAGTGGTATGAATCTTTTTCTTTGAATAATTCTTCATATTATTATGTCAAATAACTTTGCTAATAAAAAAATATTTTAGATGATGAAAAAGTTCAAATGGAAGTTAATAGACCAAAGAGAGGGAAAAGAAAATTATCAGAAACAAACGTTACTTCATTAAAAAATCACCATTCACTCAAAGATAATACTACTTCATTTAACTATTTTTTTAATACTGATTTCAGTATTCTGTCCGACTCAGAAGATGAAAGTACAGAAGTAAGTTATAAAAATAATGGTGCATTAAATATACCAGATTATAATAAATTAGTAAATATGAAACAATAGGCTTAGAACTGTAAATATTCCTTTAAGAATTTTTATTGCAAATACATGATTTTTATAACTATAAAATCGAACTTTTTATAAATATATTTCAACATTAATAAGTTCATTATAATACATAGTCCCTCTTAGTTACAATGCAGACACTTATTCCACAAAACGTCAACCAAATGCATTTCTATCTTGCAAATAATTTTAAAATTAAATTACTATATGATTACTTAAAAGTTCTATGTTCAAATTATTATTGAAAAATTACCTTGATAGTTAAAAATATTTCTATCAGGTAAAAATAAAAGGAATTATTCAAACAAAGCTGTTCAACGACTTGTATATTTAAATAATAGTTTGATAAATAATACCTTTAACTTTATAGAGTATAAAATCAGCCCTTTACAAAATAAAGAATAGTTTGGCAAGCTTTCTTATCACTAAAGAATAAAAAAGTACAAAACAAATACCGAAAATGCAATTAATCCAGCCACTGCTTTGATATACATTGATTTGCTGTTTAAATAAGCAGCATCTTTTTTGTATTTCTGAGATAACATTGATAAATTCTGTGTTTTTGTATCCAATTCTGAAATAAATTGAAAAATTTCTTATTTCTGAATTAATTAGAACCAGTATCAAATTCTACCTGAAAGAACTGTTCCTCTTTGGAGAACATCATCAATGTTTTGTACCATAATTCTTTGAACATCTTGAAGTTGACTATTTAGAGCATTCATGTTTCGTCTAGATCTGCCATCAGAAAAAAGTTTCTTTGCTTTCTGCAAGTATGTGTCTATAAAAATAATAGGTGTATAAGTATAAAACTTTGGATATTTATACATTAGAATCATACCAAATTCAATGAATGTATATGGTCTGGTAACTGTATTTACTTTTCTACCATATTGACTGTGGAACTCCTGAGCAATATCTTCTAAATAACTGTAAGCTGTGCGTTTACTAAAATTATGTTCACACAAAACTAAATAACATACGTCATTTTCTATTAGATAGCTGAAAAAGAAAGTACAGTTTACTATTTTTCCTCTTTATTTCCTATTATTAAATTATTCAAAAAATCTTTGCTCACTGAAATAGATATGGACCAGTTTCTATGCTACACCGAGAAGGAGACTGAGGACCAAGTTTTCTGAATAACATTTTTGCTTGATTCTGGAACTCCAATATACTTCTACCAGTCTAAAAAGTGAAACAAATTTGTAACATGAACTTAAATCTATATAATTATTATCAAGTCAATCGATAATTCAGGATTAAAACTATCCTAAAATTAATTGTGTGTTTACAGTGAGAATATCCAATTTAAACACTCATATTTAAATATAGTAAAGTATGAATTTAGCTTAAAAAATTGTACGAGAAATTAATGGAGAAAGTGCATAACTATTGATAGTTTCTTGCATCAGAAGAAATTTCAAATTTCCATTGTGATATTACAATCAAAATGATAGTATTACGTAAATTTTTGGTGAAAATTGTCATCATATTGTTAGAAAAAGCATTAATGAATTCTTTAACAATGAAATTTCTAACCTGTTCGTCTTCTTGCATAGCAGCTGCTAATGGCAAGCCATCACTTATTCGAGCAATCATAGTTAGCAGAATCATTGCTTTATTTGATTATCTATTTAGTTTTTTTCAACAACAATTCACTGTATTAAAGTTTGCGTGTATACCATTTGGACCTCAAATTGACGTTGACGTTCTAGCCAACGAAGCTTATGCCGAGCGAATATAATAGTGACCACGGTATGACTAGTGTATTCTACCTCTCTTTCTTACATACAGCAGCGCCAGTGCAAAACTACCACGTCAGTAACTTTAAGTCTTCATATAAGAAAGATAAGACAAAGACCGTTGAATTCATTATGTGACTTTAATTGTTCAACGGCATTGAAGTAATTAAGGAAAGTCTAAATTTGCTATTTTGATTAAATCCAAATTATTTAATTTATACTTGAATGAAATTAAAAAATTCCAATATTCAAATTTATAATAATTAAAAATAAATTGTATGGAGGAAATAATGCGAATAAATTAATATTTTTGGTAGATTGAAAGTTTTTTATTAATTCAGTCTTCATATATTATATATATATTACAGTATCAATAATAAGTAGCTTGATGTTATCAACAAATAAAATGCAGAATAAAAAGAACATTAATATCAATAATTCCGTTAAAAATGAGGTTACAAATTTACAACCTTGTATGTTACGTATTGATGATTACGTATTCATCAATTTTGTTCTAAGTTTAAATATTTTATTGTTATTTATTGAAAAGATACCCTCACTGAAAATAAATATGCAAATTTTATACAAAATATATGTGCAATTTTCAAATGAATATATATATTAAATTTGTACAGACTTTGTACAATACTCGTACAAATTTTGTATATATTTTTTCTGAAAAAATATAATCGATTATTGAGTACAAAATTTGTATGAGTCAATCATTGAATAAATAAATAACACGCGTATTATAGATAAAATAACGTGGGAAGATTTTATGAAAAATGAAGTTCAACAATTTTCAGATCAAGTGTAAAAGATTAAAATTAATAATTATCGTAATAGTGATCGGTATAAAGTATAAGTCTCGTGACTTGAAGACAGCGTTGCCGATGGAAAAATTGCTCTCAGGAACTCTAGAAATTCCGAGATTAAATTTCTGAATGTTTAGGTTGCGTCGGCTGCTCGCAGTGCCGTATTCACCTTCAACTGAAAACTTGCAGAAAAAAATGCGAGCAATGGCAGCGGCATGTTTTCAATTGAAGGTAAATACGGCACTGCAAGCAGCCGACGCAACCTAACATTCGCAGAAGTTTAGTACCGGAATATCTAGGGTCTCTAAGAGCAATTTTTCTAGCGGCAACGCTACTTGAAGGTTTTGAGTTTCATTCTTAGTTAGACCGGTTAATTAAAAGTTTTTTTTCCATTTTCTGTACACATTTTATTTTTTATGGAAGCTACCTACGTTATTTTATCCATAATATGTGTGTATTATTTATTTATTTAATTTTTAGAAAAAGTTGATCATTAAGTAATAGAAATTGTACCAATTTTGTGTAATTTTTATATAAAATTTAGAAAAAACTTGTACCTCACTTGTACAAATTTTGTACAAATTTGTTTGAAAAAAAATATGTTTAAAATTTGAATATTTATTTTCAATGGAGACCGCTTTATTAGAATTAGTATGCGAGAACTATGTGAATTGTTATCAACCAATCTATTGTAAATTATAATTATAATTATTTTAATAGTACATCGACAATTTTCGCGCGTAACTTCTTGTGTTTCTATCAATAATGTACACTAATTTTTATATTCTTGTATATACTAACGGCAGTTTTAACCACTGAGGAGTTATTAGCTTATATACTAAATCGCTGTATGAAATTTCCACACACTGTCTGTATATGCATGAGTGAACCAAACTAGGCGATTTTATTACCAGAATGAATACATTAATATATGTATAGATGGCGTGTAATAAAATAATTTTTCATTACGTTATGCGGAAAGTATGATTTTGTCGCACGCTCGTAGAAAAATGTGCGCTTTCTACACGTTGTTTTGAAAAATACCATACTTAACATATTTAGAAAAAAAAGATTCTCGCCTCGTATGCCTTTACACCTTCGCTTTGCTCGGGCATAAACCTTACACGAAGCAGGAATCTATTTTCCCGCACTAGTTAGGTAATATACTATAGTAATTTAGAACAACTACTAATAACTTGCTAGTTGAAACGGCAATCAGTATATGAGAAAGTATCAAATATAATTATGATACCAATAGAGGATGTTATATGTGAAAACTATCAATACAACAGTAAAATAATTAGATTGTGTATTTTTTAAATGTAAATAGTTACAAGTACAACTGAGTGAATTGACAGCAAAAAATTCTATAACTATAATAAGTTCACGCATACAAATTTCAATGAAACACTTTTTTGAATAAATAAGAATATTAATGAAATATTTTTAGTTCATAGGAAAAAGCGATCAGTATGTACAAATTTCGTGTAAGTTTTATAAACAATTTAAATAAAATGAGCTCAAAATATGTGCGAGATTTTTTGAGCAAATTTTGCATAAACTTTGTACACTTTCTTGTACAAGATTTGCACAAAATTTGTACTTTTACGTCTAATGGGTGTAAATGTGAAAAGTTTTTACCTGTATTCAAATCCTTTTAATACATAGGAATTAGGCATTAAATTGTTTTTAAAGAGATCAACGATTTTACATACTAAAATCCACTTCTAGTAACAGGTGTCAAGTTGACTATGAATAACGTTTATAAAATTAATGAACAATTGATTAATTTTGACATTATTATCGATTAGATATTATTCTAGATAAGTAATTTACGGAAGGTGATTAGTTCCAGCAACCACTGCACTTACATTATATTAATATGCAATATGTACAACAGTACATTACAGTACAAGTGCTTTGCGATACTTTACTGCACTTGTATCGTGATATACTATTTCGTGAATAAGTCTTACTATTGTCATAAGAGTACTCTTAAAAATCTTACAGATAAATATGCTGCACTCGATTCAAATTTCGCCAGTCTTGTATATTAAGGTATCTAATTATTTGATCCGAGACATCATAGAAATTATTAGTAGGTCCAATAATTCGACAGATAGCACGAATAGCTTTTTCTCTTAAAACGGCCATCCGACAACTATAGAGTAAACGTTTAAACAATTTTTTAGAATAGTGCGATTTATAACAATATAGCTTGGTCAAGCGCAATAATTTCGAGACTAGTTTAATGTTTTTCGCTAATCGAATAACTTTGTCTTCATTGACAGTCAAATATTTCAGACTCATCGTTAAAATCTCTGGATGTAATATTTTTTTTGCTTGCTTTAGTTGTTTTCGGTATATATTGAAATGTTTCTTCAGTGCACTACATCTGTTAATTTTATTGCGAATGATGTCATTGATAGGTGTCCCGCTAAATTCGAGTGCTGCGAGATGTGCTAGTATTGGTTTACTCAATGAAATATATCTTCTTCTTTTCATTACCATGTCATAACTAGATTCAAAAAAAATTTTTAGATTTAATATTGCATCGAAAATTGTTGTACCTTGATTTGTTACAAATTGTGCATCCGCGCCGTGCTCTAAGAGAATTTCAATGCATTTTTTCATATCCCTTAGTATTTTGTACGATTCAAATATCATGAATAAAGGCGTGATTCCAGTACCATTTTTTGAAAGATTAGCATTCGCACCTCTATCTAGAAGAAATTTAACAACTTCTAGATTGCTGTTTTGTACAGCCAAGTGCAGAGGGCTTATTCCATCTTTATCCACCACGTTCACATCTAATTTTTTACCTTTCAATACTCGACAAATTTCAGGATTTTGGTTTGTCATCAGATAATGCAAACTATTCTGTCCATTCATGTCTCTTACAGTTAAATCAGTGTATTGCAATAGCAAGTGAACGACTTCTTTGCTACCATAACTTAAGCCATAAAATGTTTGCATTTGACCAGTTGAATTGCATGCAGTTAATATCAGTCCCTGATCTATTAATGCTCTTAAGACATCAAAGTTTTTGTGCCAGAATTGCATCAGTGGTGTGTTTCCTATATAATTAGTTTTATTTACATCTACACCATATTCAATCAGTAACTTGACTTGTTCCAACCTCCCTTCTTTAACGGCAATATGTAGTGCTGTATCACCTTTTAGAGAGTTACAATTATCTACTTCAATGCCATTTTCTAAAAATAACTTTAATACTGCAATATTTTCTAACAATACAGAATATCCTGGACAACCAATATTTAGCAAATTATTTGCTATCATTTTAATATCTTCTGGGCTATTACAATCTACTTTTTGGAAAAATATTCTAGCAACAAATAAAGAGAGTTGAGGTAATTTCATGTAAAATTTTGATAGTACAGTTTCACCATCCGCATCAGCAATGTCAATACTGGCATTGGCATCAAGTAAAGTTGCAATAGCATGAGAAATTTTCTTCTCAATTGCAATCATCAGTGGAGTTCTTCCTAGTATATCTTGTGCATCAATGTTTATTCCAAGAGAGATCAAAAATCTTATTACTGTTACAGAAGAATAAATTACTGAAAAGTGCAATAAAGTTGATCCTGTCAGATCAACCAGATTTTTTGGATTTTCATTTTCAAATCTATTCCTTAGGTATACAAAGTTTGAGGTTCGTATGTTATGCAGAAGTTCATCGTCAAAATATGCTCGTCCATTTCTAATATGGAGCTGAAAAATAAAAATTAAATATTATTAAAATTAAAAGATAATTACACTGTGTCTAACTACTTAATGCTGTATAACAAAACTATAAATAATTATAATAATATAAATAGATTATTTTTATCTTCAAGGAGTAATCTAGTTGCTGATTTTTATATACTTTTGTTTGTTGTTTTTCGATTACTCTACTATTAGATTATCTACTATTTATAATGATATACTAAATTATAATTACACAAGTCTTGCATCCAATTTGAATTACAAATAGTTTGTAAAAAGTATAAAATATCTGCTAAAACAGTATTAATGTTTGTTCTAGATGTAAACATCGCTAGCCTCTTCAAAGCATTAACCTGTTGTTACTTACCAAACTACTTCGTGTATTCATCATGAAATAATTGACTAGTACGTTGAAAAAATTGCAAGTTCTTTTTGAAAAAATTCCATATAAAAAATTTTCCTATTCTATGGGTAAAAACGGCAGTTGATGGTTTTTTTATATAGTTTGTCAAAAATACGAATGCCATGCGTTCGCGGCTGTCAACACTCCACCACACCTCTATACAATCTATACTCTCTACTGTTGGTCATTTGATCGTTCTTTCCGTGATGACTATATATAGTTTCCAATCTTGATCTCCATGATCCATTCATCTTACCCTAGCCGGCGAATTAAATTAAAAATAAAAAAAGTGCCTGTCAAAACATCTCTTAACTACACCTTCAAAGTATGCTAAATAACTTAAGCTGCACCCTTCTAGTTATTAACAAAAAAGAAATAAAAATTAACATACGTTCTACAAGTTGTTGCAAGAGCAATAACATCGTTAATTATCAATATTTTTACGTTGTAAATGTACCAAAAAACTGCACCCCGGCTGGTTTTAATTGCACCATCTTTACTTTTTGAAATCATTGATATAAATAACAAATAATCAATAATAAACACTCTTCTATGAGCTATAGAGCAGACGTGATCAGAGCACATGCGCGAATCACTACATAAAGGCGGGAGAGCTAGGTGTTTTAAATTTGCACGTAAAAGAAATTTAAATTCTGAACGTAAAATTTTCTGTTCTTTTCGTTTCCGTAATCAAAATTAGGGGTTTTTATTAAAAAAAAGTTGACCTTCATATGACCTTGAAGTTCAAGGACAAATCCAAGGCCACCATATGACACTTTCTTCTAAACCTTACAACTTTTGTAATGACTATATTTAAGATTTATGCCGTTCCAGAGGAGTTATTCAAGTGAGAGTGTTGCATTAAAATGGGTGAGTCCATGCACTTTTCGACAGTGATGATATTTAATGGCTTCTAACTTTTAAAAACAGCATTGTAGCGAAAAAGTCATGAGTAATAAATTTTAAGGTTTTTTAAAACCTTTCGATTTCATTCAAAATTTTTTACCTATTATCAATTTTTTCAAAAATACAACTGATTGAAGAAATTAATAAGACTTTGGAAAATTGACACTTTTTAAAGTAATATAAAAAATAGAAAAAATGTCTCATAAAAAGTTAGTATTTTGCCAATACTTAAATTTGCCTTTTTTATTTATATTCTCCAATTAATAGAATCGGAGATATTCTTGTTTAAAGAATGGCTTTTCTTCCACAAAATTTTCTGAAATTTATAACTGGTACTGTATATTGTAAAAGTCTTCACTGCTCATCATCTATTTATTATAATGTATTTTAGGACATTTTTATTATATTTTAAGTAATTTTTTACATTACATCGTAAACATGAACTGTTAGATATTCACCTATATACACATATGCCGCCAATATTTTAAGTGTTTTATAGTTAAAATTTAATAAAACCGAATTTATAAATATTTTATTAATAATGAAATTATTAATAAAGTAAAACATTAATAAAATTAATTAATTAATATTAATAAAATATTATTAATAAGAGCGGTATAAATTCATAATACAGACATAAGTAGTCAATTTTTATTGTTTCCATAACTTACCATCATGACATTATTCATTCATTAGAAATTAAGTTATTGCGCCATAACATTAAGCGCCGCTCACGATAATCTTAAGAAATTCTCAACGCCCTGTCGGGACTGTCGGTATTCACAGTTTTCTTTCATTCCATTCTACACGTTTGTATATACATACATAGTAGCGCGCGCTGACGCGGTTCTTCGAGCAGCTCGAATACTGCACACGTATACAGTTATCGGTTGGTAGTGCAGGTGTATGTTGCGGCATTGGAGGACTTTCAAGCAAGCTGTAGTGAAAAAATTGGTGTGACGTGCACGCGAGAGCGAGAAGACAGCGAACTCCGTTTTTCCGTGGCCGTGCGTGCAATGTCCCCGTGATTTTTTCCTCAAATTCGACAAGTCTTTTTTTTTCATCGCCTACAAAGCTCTACGAAGAGGAGTATCACCTGCTTGTAAAAAAACCTAGGACAAGATAATATGCACCTATGAATCAGCTCATGAATGTCGTCGGGTAAGTGTATGAATACGCGCTTGCTGCCACAGAGCTGTTCACAGCTGGCGACCTCGAACACTATTTTCTCCGACAGCCAAACCATCCTCGGCTACGTGGACTACCACGCAAATTTGCATTCTCACCGCTGATTCGTTATATAATTTCGCAAATTAGCAAATGTTGAGTATGAGGACTCACTTTTTATACGCAGCTTTTTCTTTTTCGTTTGTAAGTTTCTCTTGTGTATCTATCCGCTCACACGTTCAATGTTTTGTAAAGCTGTGGCGAAACGTGCTTTGTCATTAATTTTATTGACTCTTATTTTCTCTACATCAATGTCATCTGACTCCATATTGTTTATTTACAGGTTTTGTACAGATATTTTTTCGTGAAGGTACTGTTTTGATACTAGTATGAGTGTGAGTAATTAATTAATCTTAATAGTATATTTTATAAAATTATCTTTCGCTGTATTATCAGTTGTAATTTATTTTCTAAAGAATCCTTATCGCGTAAGACAAACAAGATCAAGAGTAGATCCAAGTCTCACTGGATATGGAGTTCAAAATCCATGGAATCAAAATGCTGTTCAAAGACCACCAAGTGTTGATCCCAATACAGTATTCCAGCCTCCACCAGTTTCATCAAGTCAAATAACTCCAACAGTTAATGATTCTTGGGAGTGGAAAGGAGATAATGGTAACAATGGCAATGATTCATGGAACTGGACCATTGAACAGCCAGAATCTCAGTCACGTCCACATCAACAACAGCAGCATCATCAACAACATCCAAAACAATCACTTCCCTCAATGCATGGACAATATATTCCCCCAGCTTATCATAACCAGAAGCAACCTGTACCACCTCCCAGTCAAGACAACTTTTACAAAAACCTGAATGGTAATAACAAATCTGGTGATACTCCAAATCAACATGGCTCTTTGGACAGAGAAACTCCAAGGACTGTACCACCTCCAAAACAAATGGATCCTACTCCTCAATATTCCAATTACAGTCACAATCAGCAATTTGTTTCTAATCCGTCTCATCCTCCTCGACCTAGTTCTAACTCATCCTACTCTGGTCCTGTTGAACAGCCTCAGTGGCCTAATGAACAGCATAGCCAGAGCTTGCCATATGTGTCACCAAATCAAATACACAACCAAAAACATCAAACTTCATCTCTTCCACCTCCAATCGCTGTGAGTAATATCAATTGGAGCAACACAGATCAACAGAATGTTCCACTGCACAATTGGCAGAATAACACTGAAACCCCTACATCTGGCTATTGGCAGGAACATACTGCTCCAAAGCAAGATCAGTATCCTGACAATACAGCAAGCTCTTGGCCACAGCAGTCACAGCATCAACAAGTATGTGTATTTTATTAATACTCATCCATTTGCTCATTACTAACACTTAAGTTTCTTGACACTTGATACCTCTAAGTAAATTGTAGATCTTTCATTTGTAAACTTTAAATTTCTGAATTAGTGTGCATGGTAAGCTGAACTTACATATTTATATTTCTTTTATAAAGATATTGATTTTCTTAAATCTCTGTTTGCTAAATATGTCACGATACTTGAAGAAAAAGTCACACTAACAAAAGCTCATTATTTCTCTCGCTAGAGCCAGCAATCATCATCGCATCAAGCTCAGCAAAGAGTCCCTAACTCGTATCAACACCCGATTCAAAACACGATTAACAACGATAATCAGTCGAAATTCTATAATCCCTATCATGATACATCGGTGTCGCAAGACAGCTGGCTGATGACGAATAAACAGTGGCCAAAGTGTAATTCCGAAACTATCACAAACGTTTTACCCCGACAGCAATCGTTGCCCACGAACAACACCTGGTCTCAGAGTGAGGAAACCAACGCGTGGCAACAGTCTGGTAGCATTCAAAAAACACAGTGGAGACAACCAAAACTCCAACCGGGTGGTTCACTCGAGGAGTCCGCTTTGTCTGATCATCATAAGGGTGAATGGCACCCAATTCATGCACCACCTTCACACTTTAATTCCTCAACTACGTCGACTACCTCTGGTTCGCTGGCTAATATGTCAAGTAGTACCGAGCAGCTAGAAGATCGTAAGAGATCTTTGACTCCAGCTACTAGTAATGCTTCTCTCAACGATTATCAGACCCACGTAAATTGCAATCATTTTGTACAATGTAATTGTTATACGTGCCGTTAACATATTATTTTTTAAACGCAGACTAATACCCATCAAGTTGGCATTGCGGAGAACAATATTGCCAACAACGTTGAGCCATACAACGCTCAGAATAACGTTGATCTTGACTGGAATAACGACGGAGACTGGAACACTGTGACTGATTTATCAAATAGTGTAAATAATTTAACGTTAAGTCTTAACGCGAATTATAGCCAGCAAGTAGACAGCTTACAATCAGCGCCTCAGCCGCAATCACCTCATAAGGAGGAGCTGCAGCCAAAACAAATAAATCACGCAGCCAATGACTGGAATCGCCAGACAGCCACAGGATTGAAGTCTGATAACGTTGAAAATACACCGGATAATGTACCGGTGTTAAATGTCGAACATGTCAGTTATTTTAATCTTCTTGTTCCTTGTCATTTATTGATTTGCAATGATACTTAATTTCGCATTCTTAATATAGAATCAGTTGGAAAGTGTCACTGGGATATCACAGGAACTCTTCGAACCGCAAACTTCACCAGGTAGCAAGTCCACGGAAAATGTGACACAAGCGAGTTATGATCAATGGTACAAGCAAAATGTCCGCGCACAGCCAGAAAATGAATTTTTCAGTAGCCAAACTACCAAGCAATGGCAACAACAACCGGAACAGAATGTCGAGAATTACGAGAATATTCAACAAGGTACGGAGTTTGTTAATCTTGAAGTCGTCGCACCCGAGATGCAGGAGAGAGACATCTATGGTTCGCGTGACTCGATCAATAAAGAGACGTTGGACAATGATCAGGGGTTGAGACAAAGTAATACACTGAAAGAAAGCGTGCATCGCGGATTTAGACAGGAACAGAACAATATTGAGGTTCCTGTTGTGCAGCAAATTCAGCAACCTTTTCAAACAGAACAAGTAAATATTCTTGATTAACAAAATATATCTCTGTCGAGCACTTTTATTCATGTTGCGTATTTTCAGGCGCCGGATAATTACGAGTTTGCATCGAACGACAGAAATACCTTTCTGGAGACAGGTGAGCTAACGGATCCACACTCACAGGAACCGGCACAGGTTCCACCGAGTCAAGACGATGAGAACGACGAGGTGCCAAACGACATACCATTCCTGCGTGAAGTGCCAGGACAGTCGAGTAACGTCGATCCACGTCGTAATGATCCCACAGGTCAAGAACAGTATCCGCAAAGTGTGGTTGTCCCAAGAATGCCTGATCCCAGAAGGAACGATCCATCCGGCCAGGAACAGCAACAACATGTTACTCGATCTAATTTACTTGGTAAGGCTTTATTATATTTGGATTTTTTTATAGTCTTCCAGGAAATGTTTGAAATTTAGAATAAGACAAATGTCATGATGAAATATATGAATTTGTCATTTTGTATTACAAATGCATTCATTATTAAATATTTACTTCATATTTTAAGTTTGATTGAATCTAATGAAAGTAAAATAAATACTAGTTTGACTATTTTTATTTGCGACGTTAGTTTACAATTATCAATCATATTTATTTACGTTTGAAATTTGTTTTCATAGCCGATAGAATGACCGATCGGAGAGATATGCCTTCTGGCCAAGAAAGAGCGAAACCCATTCAGTCACCTCCTCCGCAACGCAACGCTGAGTTGGAAACAGTCGAGCGTAGAAACGATCCTTCGGGACGTGAACGATCCTTACCGCCACTACCACCTCCGCAACAATCTCGCAATGAACCTTCCGGAGAAGAGCAACGGATTACACTTTCAATAACTCAGCCAACACCACTAGAATCAAGTGCAGTGCGCGAAATTCCTGGTAGAGGCAATGAATCTGAAGAAACAATTCAACAGCAGGATATTGATATTAGACAGATTCCTGGTGGCGCATCATCTAACGAATCTGTACAAAATATTTCCGATGATAGGAGTGGAGCTCGTGTTGTTACTGGATCGCAGCAAGTTAATGTTCCCAGTTGTAAGTCAAGAAACTTTTTAATAATAACATATTCATTCATAGATTGAAATGATTAGTGTTGTTAAATAATTATCTTACAGCTCTGAGTACTACACAAGATCTCACAGTTGATAATAGAAGTAAGAGAGAAGAAGCTGTTGGTGCTTCTATCGTTGAAACTCAAATCAGTGCTGGTATGCCAAATCGTAGAGATTCTTACGAGGATGGCGATGACGAAGGTTCAGGCAATAGTAGAGATGATAGCAGAGATAGACATAGAGAACCTAGCCCAAAACCTAGGCATCCTCGTTATGATTATAACAGAAAACATACATAGTAAGTTAAAAATAATTATTCGTTTATTGCGCTCGTCTTAAACGTACGGATTTCTTAAGAAAATTATTTCTTTTTATTAGTTATGATCGCGATCGTGAATTCGATGATGACTACGGTTATGGTCGTCGTGGGGCCGACTATGATCGTTCTTACTACGAAGATCTTGGCAGACGTGATTCTTCATTCAGAGACGACGATCGCCGCCATGCTAGTCGAGATGATCTTGATAGAAATGAACGCGATCGCGATCGTCATTCGCGTGAAGATCACGACAGAAGAGGTAGAATAAAGCCAGATGAACTGGAAGATAGAGACTGTAGACGAAGACTTGAAGAGCGTAGACGCGACAGATCAGCAGACCCTAGACACGTGGAGAGAAGTAGTCGAGAGTATGATCCGCGCTATCCTAAAGACCTTAGGGAACGTGATTACCATGAGAGAGAAGGAAGGAGGCGAGATGGTCGGGGTAGAAGATATCCTGAGTACGACTCGCGAGAATCGTTTAGGTACTATGAAGATACTTACAATAGAAAGTAAGATTTTATTGCGAATTTCATGGATTATTGGTATCATGTAGTAGTAGTACACTATGTTGTAATTGATATTTGTTAGCTCTAGACCGTCCAGTAGATCTTCATACAATGAGAGAGAAAGAGATCATTATTACATGCGGCCCAGGGAATCGTATTCTTATGGTTTCAGCAGTACGTATTATCATTGTTACTGTCATACGTAATTTATGTTATTCATTTTACTCTTTATCTTTTTTATGACAGATTATTCATCATACGAATATGGACCCAACTACAATAGCGACTACTATGCATATTTAGAGAATCTACGTAGAACTAATCCCGTAGCTTATGCTGAATGGTATCATAAGTACATGCAGCATCAACAACTGTCGCGCAATCCTGTTGCTAATTATCCAGAGGACAGAGCAAGTGTGCATTCAGGGCGCAGTTCTTGTGAGGATAGGTACTAATTATCTTGTAATTTGTTTAAGGCTCATTCATTCTTTAAGACTCATTCATACATGATTTTATGTTTATTTGCTCAAACGCGCCCGAATTCAATTTCCAATATCTATATGTTTAACTAACAGTATATTTATGTTTGTTGAATTTGCATGCCAAAGTTTTAACGAATATGCACATTTATTTCCGTTCACCGAATAGAGCGTTGTTCGCACTGGGTTTCGGCTGTTCCAGATGGGCCGGAAGTCCCATACGAAGACGAAATGTATTATCTCAAAATCCTTCTAGGTGATTTTACTAATGAAACATATAACGCTAGGATACACATTCTTTCTTGCATAATTTTTTATCGTTGCTTGTATATAATGTTGCATCGATAACTCGAAATAAAATCTTTAATTTTAAGAAGCAATCACTCAATAATTAAATTGAAACCTTCGTTTGTAGAAATTCTAGTGAGAAGCGTAATTTGACAGACGTATCGTTACTTGAAGATCAAACCACAGCTTCATCAAGAATGACCCCAACGAAATTCTCTACAGCTCATACAAAAGGTAGATCATTACGTTAAATATTTGTATTGAGCGTTATTTATTATGATAATAATTTGTTGAATATTACAATTTTTTCATAGGCACATTTTCTATTGGTGCACTGATACATGTGCACCCGAGTTATCCTACTGACGGTGAAAGAGCTAGAATAGATCTTTTGAAAATTGATGAGCTATTCCATCAAGATTCAACGTTTCGCGAACTGCGTTCTTACCCTGGACCATTGATAAAGTTTGTAAAAATTGTTCAAGACCTTTTTTCTAATTATCAATGCAATCAATGTTTATTAATACAATGAAATTACAGAGGCGTCACACATAAAAAGACGATTATCGAGTACTGCGAAAATAAAATAAAAAAAGCACCACTGAATGAAGAAATTTTCGAAGTATCGTCATATGTTCTTTTGTACGAATTAATGATAATGCTTATTCAACAAAATGGGGTAAGCTAAATTGTTATTTTTTATTAATTTTTTTACATTAATCTATGAGTATTTTATTATCTACTATTAAATTTACAGAATGTGGTTGGAGTGGACATTGCTTCGCTTCTGTTAAGAAACAAGGAGGCTTATCCATACGAAGCAACCAAGCCCATGAAAGAACCAATACGTCGAGAATCTACAATCTCTGAACGGTCTGGTGCTTCCGGTAGTGATCGAGGTATTACTGCCGATACGGTTCAGTCGCTTGAAAAAGAAGAAGTGAAACCTAGAAAGACTGTAGAGCAGCTTACGGACGAATTTAGGAATACTTTATTGTATGGTTTAGTTCGAGAGGCTTTGGGTAAGCTTAATATTTAAATGAGGATTTTTATATTTTTAACGAACATTCATTAATAAAAAAAATGTGTTTCACTTAGAATTTGCAATGGTTGAGGGCTTATGGGGCCACGCTTTGTTTTTGGCTAGTAAGTTAGATAAACGTACTCACGCGTCAGTAATGACTCGTTTTGCTAATAGTCTGCCAACTCAAGATCCATTACAAACTTTGTACCAACTTCATTCTGGTCGCGTTCCTGCAAGTGTCACTGTGAGTTGATAAATTTTGACAAATGATAAATTGTTCGTTAATATTAAAACAAATGTAAGTTTTAAATTGTTATTTAATTATAGTGTATATCTGATGCAAGATGGGATGACTGGAGACCACACTTGGCGATGATAATTTCCAATACTTCAGCCAATCCGGAGATCAATCGTCGTGCTATTTCTACTTTAGGCGATACTTTAGCTAGCCGTGGTGATGTTTATGCCGCTCATTTCTGCTACATTTTGTCTCAAGTAGATTTTGGAGCTTATGGTCAAAGCAATGTCAAACTCGTTCTCATTGGTGCTAATCATCACAAGCCTTACTCCGACTTCATCAGTACCGATGCTATTATGTTGACAGAGATTTACGAATATGCTCGTAAACTCAGTGAACCATTCACTCTGATCGAATTGCAGACTTTTGAGTTTAACAATGCTATCAAGATGGTAGATTATGGCCTCGTGGAGAAAGCTTTGTTGTACATTGAGCAAGTGGCTACCAACATCGTCAGTGAGCCTGAAAAGTACAAACAGTCTTTCATCAAAGACGTTTACTTGTTAGGTGATCGACTGAAGTACCACGATCCAGTATGTAAAGATTCATGTGAGGATGCTGTTAATCTTCCATGGCTGAACAAACTCGCAAATATCGTTGACAAGTGTGCTACCGGCGAAATTATTGAGAATAATTTCCACGCAACGAACACTGTTGCGCAAGGCACCATCGAGTCAACTGAATATCAGCAATCAAAGTGGAGCGACGATTACAGTGTAGTGAACAGTAATGTTCCAGTGCACGTAAATCCTAACGTAGAATGGCAAATTAATCAGCAAACCACCAGCGTACCACATTCTTATGGTCTTGCTGCTGAACCTCAATACAACGACGAACCGGCCAACGACGTGCAGATGCATTATCAGAATTATCAAGATTATTGGATACAGCAACAGCAACAGCAACAGTCGTACGATCAAGAAGATTATTCGCAGCATACTAGTTTGCAGTATGGCGCTGAGCAGCACGAAGAGCATAACGAACATCAGAATAATTGGGCTTTTAAGGTAGGTTTATGTGAATTGATTATGCTAACAGGCTATAATTTTTCTTAACAGCTTGCGGTTGATGATGAGTTTTCATTGGTTATTTACTAATCTAAGAATAGCGATGCCTGGGCCATCGATGAGCAAAGTAGCCTGCACTGATATAACTTGCCAAAAGTTATTCAATTCGAATCGTTGGACTCAAATAATGCGTATCTGAAACAATACTATTTCAATGTAATATATTGACTGAAACAATTGTTTATATAATTTGTGCGTACACTTTGGAATTGTCGAATCAAATAACTTTTGGCGCAGTGAGGAAGAAGGCAAGCATTATATGAAATTCTAGTTGACAAGAGAAAGCCTTCGAACTCACCTAACACTTAAGGGATATCTGAAAGCTAACATAAATAAAATTAATGCGAGATCTCGCCTCTTTCTTTAACGCTCGCTGGCGGTCGCGCACAATGGACGCACGTGTCTCGCACGTCACACATAAACACACAGTCGTCGGACGAGAAGTCGTCAGCGGTTGTGGCGGTGACGAAGGCAGAGGCTGCCGCTCCATTGGCAAACTCGACCGCAAGCCCAGTCGAAGTAAGTAGTCCCGCCTGTCACCTAACTAGTACCCCCAAGCTCACTCAAGACTCGACCACGCTGCGTCAACGTCGACGACCACCGCTGCTGCTCAATACCGACGACGTCGCACTTGCCTCTTGCTCATCACAGCCAAGACTCAAGTATCCGCGTGTCAAAGCCCGTCCTGAAGAACCGCCTAAACGCAAACCATCTACATCCGACGAGGATGACGAGGGTATCGATGAGGAGGCAAAGAAGAAGCAACCAACGGATTTGGATATTCAGTTTCAACAGATGGAGTTGGAGAATTTCACTGCGCAAATTCGCACGGCTGAGAGACGCAAGACCAGCGCGCTAAGCAGCAAAAGCAGCGGGCAGTCGTTGACGCAGTACTGCAATTTTGACGAAAAGAAGGTAGTGAAAGTAGCACCGCACATACGCAGGAAGGATGTGATTTGCGACACGGTGGACGCGTGGAGTGGCAGGCAAGGCAGTGAGAATAGCCTTCGGCCAAGATACAGACCTTTGATCTTCGGCGGCACGTATCCCATAGATCTGCCTTTCGACGATTATCAACAGCAGAAACAGCCAAAGACCTTTGACATTGACAGGCCAACGAGCTTGGAGTAGTTGTGCGATGATTAACGTATTATTTGTTGTTTAAGTGCGCGAATTTTTAGTGCAGACAGCTCTCTACAAATATTGTACATATTTATTATTGTCTACTCTCTGTCTAAGTGACTATGACTTTATTATATGTATCGAATAAAGTGTATATGACCGAACACAGTGTGATTTTTCATTCACAAAGTGAACATTACTAATAAAATTAATAATAAAGCTTTGACTACTGATCATGGGTGTGTTTGGGTGTTGAAGTATTCGATATTTGCCGTAAATTACAATGTGCATATAGCAAGAAGCATGCAAAGTCTCTCCTTGGTTAGCTCTCACTCCCCAGGAGATGACAAACTCAAGGTCAGACTTTGCGAGGGCAAATTTGCGATGATCCATCTTTTCTTTGTCTTCTAGCAGCAGCAGCCGCAACAATTGCCACCACAGCCAAACGTCTCAATGGGACCTACCGCTAAGAAGCAGTACGATCCTTTGGAAGAGTTGGAGCAGATAGAACCTTCGAAATTCGGACCAGGTAAACCGGCGTCCGAGGGAAAAAAACCACAGGACAAATCACAGGAGAAAAAAGCGACCAATGGCGGAAGTTGGTTCGGTGGACTGTTTAGCAAGCTTGCGATCAAGCCGAAGAATCAGATGATATTACCAGATGATAGTAATCCTGCGGTAAGAATTTTTGAAAGATTATTGCACAATAGTTTTCTTTGGTACTCGATAACACTGACAATGAAGGGTATTTTTGTGACCAAGGGCTCGCATGGATACTTTTGGTAGTTTGATTATAAACAAAAAAAAAAGGCCAGTACCTTGAAACGTGTTTAAACTATGATTAACAGTATTTTATAGTTACCCTTGATTCTATTAAGCAAGCTTTTTAGAGTTTTTATTAGGAACTGCGAGCTTTGCTTTATAAACAATCTTTAATTTGAATTATATTCACAGATTCTTCATTTAACAACACCGATTTCTTACTTTCAGATCGTATGGGATCCAATCCAGAAAAAATGGATGAACAAAGACGAAGATGAAAATAATTCTGCACCTCTCGCTCCGCCACCAAAGATGGCTGATTTGCCAGGTTTCAAATCAGCAGACTCGATGAATCAAAGTGTTGCTCCTCCAGCTATTCCTGCTACTGTATCTACATTGCCGGCTACAAATGTAATAACGGCTATAGGAGCCGATGAAACTCTTGGTCTTAACGGGACGAAATTGATTGCTGGAGGCGGTGGCAATATGTATAAGATGAATCCGCGTGGTAGAAAAGTGCGTACGAACTACGTCGACGTATTAAACCCCGGAAGTGTCAAGAGTAGCAATACCAGCTCCAGACCTATACCCGCAAGTTCGCCGCCCGTACCGATGGCGGCTTCTTCTCCTCAATTTTTCACACCTACACCAGGTAATTACTTCTGAAATATATTTTATGACACTATGATTACTTTTGTATGTACGACTTTTAATTCAATGAACAAATTCATTCTTTTCCAGTTAATGATCCAAATGCACCCGTAGACTTTTTAACACCAGCTCCGACTGCAGTTTCGCAGTCGAATGAAAATGCCCAAGCGGTAAGTTAGTTACCCGAGTACCACGTCGTTTTATTTCTCATTAGCATTTGTCATTTTTATTATTCAATTCCACATACATAACACTATTACAAACATTACAGAGATTTAACAGTTTCTTTTTTATTGTTTTCTACATATGGGAACATAGTTTGCTGTTATATTTTAAGATTTTTTGGAGCATGTGTTGAATATTCTATTTACATTGTTGAATAGGATTTCACATCTTATTTTCCTGCGAAAGTGAAAGATTGACAGATAACAACATTTTTTTAAATTTATCTTATACATGTTATGTAAAATAGTAATTTTATTTTCTTTTGTCTACATCTTTAACTCTCGCTTTATTTTAGTGTTTTTTTATTACGCATTATACCTGTACGATTATCAATCTTCCACTGTGTTGTCCATAGTTATAGAATTAGCATAGTTGTAAATACATTTTCTTCATGCAATGTTTCCAATTAGTAAATAACATTAGAAAACTTGAAATTTTGTCCTAGCATGATGTTCTTGCATTCAACAAGCAAAATCGTATAAGTAAAAAATGTGAATGACAAAATCATTATTTTTTCAAGCAAAAACGTTCCATTATGAAGAATAGATTCATGTATTGATAGTATTTCATTTTAATTTTAAAAATGTGAACTGTTATGTATAGTATATGTACATTATAAGGTCTAATGGGTTCATTAAATGTTACATAGACTTAGTGATAAATAATGTTGAAAAATGTAACAAAATTAATGTTTATTAATTATGTATAAAGGAATAATGAAAACAAATTGTAAGCAGATATCCTTAATTCATGTTAAAAATTTTAATCCACCTTTCTTTTCATGTCTTCTGCAAGCAGTTGGGAGAGCAGAATGACCTAGCCAAATAACAATTATTATCGATAGTAAGGATAAAAATATCTCTATAAACTTCATTTATGTTGTATACTTTTCAATTTTCTTATTTAAAGAACTAATTGTATTTTTTATTTCTTGTAATTAGTTAAAAGATTTTTATCATTGTCGTTAGGTTGTTATGCTTCTATTGCACGATTATTCATATATTTTTGCACTTTGCTTAATTCGTTATTTGTGCTACCTTTTATGCTATTATTTTTAAGCAGAAGCTTAATGGTCAAAAATATAACGTTAAAATTTTACTTTTGCCTCTGAAGTTTTTCCACATTTGTACATATACGGAAAAATCACCGTATTTCATTAAATATGAGCATTAATGCAATTTCAATACAGTTTTAAACAAAATCTACAATCACATTTAATATTAAATAAAAACGAGACTAGGCTATGTGTGTATGGGTGTGCTTTAACCTTGGGTGTTGTCTTATAAGAATACTTCAATGTTCTTTAACATTTTCTCTCCACTTTACCTTCAACCTTGTGTTTTCTAACATATTTAAGTTTGGTAGTTCTATAATAAACACAAAAGTTCAACGACAGTAACGAAAGAAAAAGGAAAAAAACGAATTGATCGATAAGAGTACACTTACAAAATAAAATAAAAAAAAAAAAAAAAAACAAGTACGACACAGAGAGTAAAAAAAGTAAGAGAAACTGTTATGTTGTTTTGCCCATGATTATCGCAGCTCTCGCGCTGGAGCTCGACCAGCTCACTATCACGAGAGGTACAGAGCTACACGATGAGGGATCCGCGGCTTCTTCAACGGGACAAGGTAAAACCATTGCATTCTAATCCCATCCTCTCCACCCATACAAACACCTACTATCTCTATCTATCTCATTCTATCTCTACGCGCTGTGGTTGGAATTCTTGAGATTCTCCGCGCGGCTATCCATAATTGAACACGGTAATGTTGTCCGCTTTATTTGCATTGGCTTACGCGCGCTCGCAATCACACACGCGCCCAACTTTTCAAATTAAACATTTGTTATCGAGAGAGCTTCTTACGCCCAAGAGCTCTCACAACAAACATTCGCTATTGTGGGAAAACTACTAGCTTTAAACACCTGTATACTATGAATATTCCTAAATGACTGTATCTTTTCTTGTTGTTTGCTATATCTGTAGTTTTAAGCTGCTTATTTATTTTTCCATTGTCTGCTTTCTTTCATTATTCGTATTAAATCTTTCTTTTTTATTATTTTTCTGTACACATCTTACACGTTAATCATTATTCGCTATACTGATGTGATTATAGATATTTAGAATGTAAAAATACAATCAGTGGAAACAATTATTATTTTAATTTGGTAATTCAATCTATTTATTGCAATATTACCAAAGATAAACGATTAATCTTTCATCTTTTGTGACACGTAAGTTTATGCAATTGAACTTATGTGCAATCTGATTGGATTTTTATGTAAACTAGTCGCATTACTGTTATGAAAAAAATTAACAACAATGTCGGTCACGAGTTGTGCAAAGAATTGCAGTTGTAAACACGGCTGAAATATTTGTATGTAGGGACCAATGATGTACAACCCCGTGGAGTTGAAGGATCGATCGACGAAAGCTCAAGCTCGCAGTAGATATCCACCACGATAAGGATCGAAGGAACTTCCCTCCGAGTACACAAGAGAGAGGAGATATTTACTGCCTCGTGTATGTTCACTGCAAAGCGATTCGAGGGATATGTTTCTACGTGTGTGCACGCGAAACAATTTTTTACATAGCTAAGATTTTTTTAGACAAATAGTTACGCAAGCACGCGTCAAACGTTCGCGGATTGTTTTGATACATCTTTGTGCCACGTGCATTTTTTTCTTCCTTTCTGTTTCGGGTTTATTCTTTTGTCATTGTTGTTCTTCTTCTTGATGATGGTAAGCACTCTTCATTCCTAATGTGAACAAGAGTACAACTTTTACAGTACGTGTTTATTTTTTTGTTTCTTTCTTTAATCTTTTGAATAAAAATAATTAAAAAAAAAGCCAAACGCTTGGTCATTAATTAGGATTTATGCAATTATGCGCAAGCTGTCCGGACGATGTTCAAGCGTTATATATACGTGTGGAAGTCTGATTTTATACCCAACAATATCGTTATGTATGCTAATCCACCTGGTTATGTCGATTTTGATTTGTTCGAAAAAAAAAATTGTGCTTTTCTTCCTTCGTGAAAATGTGCTATGTAAATTGAATTGGTTGGGCACAAAAGTAAAACGTGTATTTTTCTTGTTTCGTTGGTGTTATTATCTTTCGAGCACGCTTGTTAACATCCGACTTTCATACTGCTTTTTCCCTTTTCGTTCACTTCGAGAATCAAAAGTTAACGGCATTGAATTTCCACTTGTAGTTGATATAGGTTATAAGTGATAGATGAATTGATAAATTTGTACATCGTTGCTCTGACGAATCACTTTTGCAGACATACTTGTTAGATAATATAAAATAGACGTTAGGAAAAAATATAAAGTTGAAACATATATGCCATTTGAGAAATGCTTGACTCGGTGCATTTCTCGAGAGAAAATTCATTGTTTTTATGACTATTCAACATGTACGGGAATCGAGATATCGTGAAAAATTATCATCTACATAATATATTTTTTTCTTTTTATTCTAGATGTAAAGAATAGGATCAGCATATATACATATCGACAGTCCTATTCAAAAACTGTTATTTCCATAAATATATTTTTTCGGTATCTGTATAATTTCTAGTTAATCAATATTTTCTTTTTTTTCAACATAATGTAAATGTGAAGAGGGGAAACACAGGCGAGGAGCTTATAATATCGGAATTGACAAAAGTTTATATGTATATTAGTAGAAGAGAGTATGTGAGAATGAAGTTATATTATCTGTAATGTTGAGAATTTTTGGTGACATAAATTTTTATTTTATTATCATAACTTTACATGAGTATCTACATAAAATAATTGTAAATAAGTAGCTAGATTTCTTTGCAATTTAGTTGGATGATGTCTTGTCAATTTAAATATTTAATCGACAGTTAACTGATTGGCAGATTTAGTTTCTAATGTACAATTGAGAGAAAAGTTATTGCAAGAACGATGTTTTAGAAGTTTGACGTAAAACAAAATTGTAGACAAGTGAGTAAATCTAAGAAAATCTTGATGATTATATACTAAGTTTCTTAAAATTTATTTTGTTAAATAAAGTGTCAAGTTGTAAATAACAACTATCAGTTATTAAATTATTTCTGTGTCGATGAAAAATTAGTACTTCACGATATGAGTTTCGGAATCTTTAGTTAATGAAAATGATTAGTTTCGGTGAATAAAAAAAATGAATCTAAAGGAATATTCCAGATAATAGTTTAAAAATAATGCACATAAATATCTCGAAGATTGTCATTTACTCTTGTACCACTTATCTACTCTCAAAGCTAAATATAAATTAAAAAATTGTGACGGTTGATCAATCTCGGTTATTGTCCAACGAGCGATAAAGGAAGCTTTAGCACGAAGGGTAAATACAATGAAAGTTGCAAAGTAATATGAATAAAAGTATGATACGGAGAGAGAGAGAGAGAGAGACAGAGAGAGAGAGACAGACAGACAAAGACAGATGGATTTTGATATTGTGTGGCGTTAAAGTTGAACTGAAGTATTATATTGAACTGTATGTTATGTATAGGGATGGTTTTATATAAGAGATGTACTTTCGGCTTGAGATGTATATATCATATACATTATATAAGATGTGACGAATACAGACGCACTCGCGGGCATGTGTACGAGTGTCTAGTTGAGTTGCAAGCATCAGTTTAATATCTGTACGATTCCTGAATATAAGCTAAATTAAACAAAAATTTAAGATAATTTAATTCATTCTATTCTTCATTGATACCATTGTAAGAAAAATAAAAATATACACATCAATCACTATCTTTCCTTTATTTAACATAATGTTACTCTGCAATGCATTTTTAAAACTCTGCTCCGTATGCATGACATTTGTTATTTTAATCAGACTTTAAATCGAAAATATGATTTACATTAAATTCGTGCTTATACTGCTGAATATGTTTTCATCTATACTTACTATTTTTACAAATTTTGATCAATTAAAACTATCTATCATTTAATGCAATGTACTAAATTATATATATTATGATACAATACTAAACCTTATTTAATATTTATGGATTGCTAAGGTCTCAGTCTTAGTAATACACTTGATATAGCTGTATTATTTAGTTGTTTCATTGAAAACATCTATGCTGAAATATCCTTTAAATTTAATGGATTTATTATTCTGATAATTTGTTTCTGTTTCCCACATATACTTTTTGCAAAAATAAAAGTACTGCAAAACATCAAAGTAGGTTTTTCTCTATTTTATATTCTACAAGTGTTACCTAACGCGCTTCGCGTGCTAATTATTTTTTTTTCGCATTCATGATAATGCATGAATATAGATCAACAGTGGCGAAATTGGAAATTCGTAAATTAACAATGCATTAAATATTTCCTTGATTTGATATGATTTATAGCTGACGATATTATTGATTGGTAAATAAATCTGCAGTTGCATATTCGTGATTTAAAAATGTTTTCAATGAAGCTTCATGTTTGTAGCAACGAAAGTTACAGGTTGTCATTCAAAAGTTTAAAAAACACGACAAAAAATGTAATATAAATTCTAAAAACATAGTTTTCTATAATCATATCCGTCATGATATATATATATATATATATATATATATATATATATATATATATATATATATATATATATATATATATATATAAATAACATAGTTCACGGTTGTAATTCGTGAATTTTTAAAAACGTTTTAATATTTTACGTAATTTCGTAGAGCCGAAATTGCTGTAGAAAACTTTATCACAATAATTTATCGATTTATATCTTTTACTACTGCCTACTTTGTTTATTGAAAGCTAAATTTTCGGATAGAATAAAATTCAATTAATTTCTTTATCTAGGTAGCAGTTGGTTTTTATTTTGAAATTTCGTATGATTAAATTAATCAATTCGTATTAAATGCGTGCCAACTATATTGATACTTTTTTCGAAAGTTTAATCTATGAAAAATTGCAGTAATTTTTCATGAGCGTACAAAATATATATATGTACTATCACATCACAGCTAATCACATGACAGCCAATCAGATCACGAATAAACTGGATTGATTTGGTCAGGTTCTCTTTTTTATAAAAGGAGGGGGAGGAGAAGCATTCCCTTTCTCTCTCTTTTAACCAACTTACATCACAACATTAATTTCAATATCACAGATTGGAGTCAAATTATCGATTTTTACTAACAATTCCAGCATAATTAACAAAACACAGTCCCTCCTTTTTTGAAAATGATTTATTAACAACTGCGTACTTCAATTTTTAATTAATATTGTAATTAATCTTAAATTGTTGCCAACTTTTTAGAGATATTTTTCCAAAATGTTTATATTCTCTCGTTGGAAATAGTAATATCTTTGCAAAAAAAAGAAAGCCATAGTTTATTTCGTTCGTCACGGAAGCGTTCTGCCAGTGGAGTTGATAGCGTTTTTTAGGGAAGCCCAGCAGATGACCGAATCGATTTCCAAACAAATGTTGCATGATTCGGAAACCCACAGCTGGGTTACCAACAAATTTCTAGCATGTAACAGAAGTAGTTTACAAAATAATAACCTCGAAATTTTGATTATTTGTGAGTTATATAAGATATTTTATAACGTAGCCAGTGTCATGAAGAACCTGCACAATTGGGTATACACACCAGTTACATCCAAAACAGCCATATTAAATTGTACGGTGCCTTGCATAGGTGCTCGTGCAACAGCATTCAACCACACAATGCAAACAAATTCAATTTTCTTGTTTTATTTTATAACTGGCATCTGATTCCATTTTGTGAAATTTCATTCATTTGGTCGATAAAAGGTCATAGAAAATGTATCATATTTGGTTTATTAAGCCCACAACACACAAGTATGGTTTTCTTAAATCGAATACTTAGTGGAATTTCATTCACTATAATTTGTATTGGTCATATCAAATATTTAGAATTTTTTTAAGTTAGATTTCCATTGCTTTTGAATATCATAGTTAAATAAGATTTTAATATCAGCCGGTAATGATGATACAAATTGTTTATATCTTTGACCATTATAAATATCGCAAAGATCAACATTTGATACTTTTCTTCGTCGAGAAACCACATTAATATAAAACTCCTTATTTTCTTCGACAAGATTTTGTACTTCGCTTACTATATTGATCGTAACAAAATAATCTCTATAAAAAAAATCTTTCAACCTTGCGTCATCATTGCACACATCATAAAATATTCTTCGCTGCCTCTTTATCAAATATTACAAGACAACTTTTACACACTTGTTATACAGTGTGATATTTTTTCTGGGAAAACGGTCTTATTGAGAAACATATTTTGCATTTTAAACATATCTACTGTTCTTGTGGTTGGTGCATAATACTTTTTGCAATATTTCATCAGTTAAAATCACTTTTATTTTATTAACATTCATCTGTAAATTAAGAGGCTTCTTATATTTTTCATCTTGTATTATTTTATTCAATTTTTGAAATCTACTTTTAACGGTATCATTGACACAGATTATTGAAAATTTCTTCTTCGTCATTAATATCATGAAAATGGCGTGCATTGGACTGTTTGTTAATTCACACTGACTTAATCAGTCAAAGGATCTGACTCATAACTGGTTGCTTAACTTAGTATAGAGAGGACCTAACTTCAGAAGACCTTAGTGTGATCTTTCCGGAACCCAAATATGATACCTCATCTGAACGCAGAAACTCCTGCTCTTTCTGAATCCTTCTCAAGATCATCTACTTTAAGCTTGCCGATGGGGAACCAGTGGAAGCACCACGCGGTACCCCAGCACGACCTCCCGTAGACGAGCATCTGGCAAAATAACCCACTCCGTAGAGCCCTCTTGCTCCAACGACGCTAATGATCTTTCGCAACTCTCCTCCTACTAACACGTTACCAATGGTTTTGCGCAAAAGGTTGTCATTCCCTTCATTTCCTGCGAAGCTCACTAAGGAGAGAGTACCTGTGGGTTCGAACACTCCCGTTAGAAATCATAGACAGCTATGTCGGAGCTGGACTGACCATGCGATATCGCATCGCTGTCACGTGAGATGTGTACTTTGGCATACACGTATATATTCTCATCGTAGGATTAACTTAAGACGACAAAAACTTAACGCACAAGTTAGATTACAATTTGCAAATTACACAAGTATATCGAATAAATAAAATAGGGTATATTCCCAGAATTAAACTGGTACATCCTTATGTTTATCAAAGGATCTCACGCATGAATTTACACATTTTAAATATTCAATTTTTAACATAATTTATGAATTATTGTACAGGCATGTAAATATTATACTTTTATACTGAGTTCATTTTTTTAAATCTAAATAACAAATACTGTACCAAATTAATGGTTGAAAATATTCTTTTTCAAGAATGAAATGACCCGTGCATCCACACCCATGAAATCAGTCGATGAAAACATCGTACAGCATAATAGCGACAATGATGACGATTCCACAAGATCTTATGAAATAACTTCGGATGATTATTATGAAGCGAATGCCATCAACGTACTACAATTTTCAAAATATTCACGTGATAGTATTGTCATTGGATAAATCTCTGAATATTTCTTGTAACGAAAATGATAACGAACAGATGAATAAAACGCTAAAGTCGAGAATATAAAGCAATAAAAATATTCAATACTTATTGTATAATTATATATATATATATATATATATATATATATATATACATTTCACATATGTGGATTAAAATAAATGAATTTTAAAGTAATGTGGCGTAATAACAACAATCCCGAAGAATTTTTTAACAGTAGATCGATAGCTTCGTATTAGCTTAAAGGACTATTATGCGCAGCCTAACCAACAGCAATTCTTTCCTTCGGTAGAACGTTGCCTATTGTCTATGTCATGTTATCAAAACGATGTTGCACCTAGATGCCAAGTGATTAAAATTGGCTAAGAAGTAAATAAGAAGTAAAGGACTAAATAGATCGGAGGCTTTTTTGTAAATGTTCACGAGCCGCCACTGTTTAGCCGGTGGTCGTACTGGTATCCCTTCTCGACGGAAAACGACAGTGCGCAGCGACGCAGCAGGTAAGAACGCTTGCGCGCGTCCCGGTCGGCGATTGGCCGCGCGGGGCGCGTTTGAAATTCAATTGGCGGGGCTCGGAGGGCGCTCGACGGCCGAGAGCGGCGCAGTCTTTGGCTCAGTTAGCGTAGCGAGGCCGAAGCAGCGAGTGCCAACGCCGAGTCGTCCCGGTCGATCGCAAGCTCGCGCGGGCGCCGATCTTTCCGTGACTCCCTGTTCCGTAGCCCGCAGCGCTCGCTCGCGTGCTCGCGTGCTCGCAGAGTGCAAGTTGCTTTTCTCATTTTTCTTTGTTTCCGCTTTTCGTTTCGATTGGGCAGCTGAGGCAGATGCGACGGCCGATCGCCAGCTTCAAGATCGCAGGTGATTACTTTTGATTGCGTCCTTTGTTTGTCGGTGCGTGGACCGAGAACGACACGTTCTCGTTGCTTTTGTGGGTCGTCTTTACGTATGCTTTCCTTGGGCAAGGACCGAACGGAGACTGGCTGCCCTTATCGACTGCTGTGATTTCTTTTACTTTTTATCGGCAGCCAAGTGCTCGAGTGAACTCCTGTGTTTTCTCTCTCTGACACTCAAGCGTGACAACTGTCCTTTTCTGTGCACAAACTGTTGATGTTCAATGTTTTGTAAGTGCAACGGCTACCTTGCCTTTCAGGCGAAGA